AGGGCTATATAAAGCTTAGTATTCTCCTATTGCGCTAAAGCTAGCTTATATAATAGAATTGCTCCCCCCTTTATATAGTGCTTAAGCGCGCTTAGAATAGAGGTAGGTAAGCTGCTCTGCTCCCTCTTATACTTATCTTAAATTAGAGTTAATTGCAACTTAAATTCTAGGGTATTGCTTAGAGTTTATAACTGCTAGGGCTTATTATTTAAGGGAAGTAGTAGTAATAGAGTCCGCAGCTTTATATTAAGGGTTAATATAACCTATTCTAGGTTAAAAGGGACTAATCTAGCGCCTTAGAACTCTCCCTAGATATTACTAGGGGTAATTACTTTCTTATAAGCTGCTTTAAAGCATAGTAGGAACTCCTACTTTATAATATAGTTAATCTAGTTATGCATAAGCTTATTAACCTTATCCCTATATACCTTCTTTAGAGGGCTAAAATAAGCTATGTTAAGTAGCTACAGGAGGTGCAATAAGTGCGCAGGCATATATAGGGTTATAATCTTATAATCCTTATAGTATTGCTTAAATTCTATAGAGTTATAGCTCCTATAACTATTAATAATTAGCAAATAGTAGGTGCTAATAGTATGCATCTTTATATGCCTATTAAAGTACTTTAACTAGTTAAAGCTAAGCTTATTAGTAGTCTAGCTATTTTTAGAGATAGCAATAGTCCAATCTTAGGGCAGATTATTATCCTTATACTAGTTAGACAGGTATTAGCAGGCTTTAAAGATAATATAGGGCAGAATAGCCTATCCTATAGCATTAATGCCCTTAATAACTATTACCTACTCCTAGTTGCTTAGCTAGACCTGCTTTGCTTGTCCTAGCTTCTCTATATCTATAATAATAACTCTAGTAGATATCTAGCCTATTATAAAGCCTATCTTATTAAAGTTATATATATTATTATCTAGGATACTATACTTAGCTTTAATATTAGCTACTAGGCTAAACTAGCCCTAGATTACTATAGAATCCTTGCAGAGGGCTTGCTTATAGTTATACTTATAATTAAAGACTATTTTAAGCTTCTCCTAACATAAAACAAACCTGCTAGCCTACCTTAGGCTAATAGAGGCTAAACTATACTCTTTTTATAGAGAATTAGCTATATTAGCTATAACTATAAGCTAAGGGGACTCTCCTTATATAACTAGCTTAAGTATATGCATAATAATTACCTGCTCCTTAGCGCTAGTTAGATTATATAAGTTAGCTATAGTATTAATGCGTAAAGGTTGTCCTACACGTCTTATATAAAGTATAGTTTTAGAGGCGCTATAGATAGCTGCAGCGCGTTATACTAAGAGGTCTATATCTTATTTAAGAGCTTAAAGCGCAAGCTATATCTAACACTCTTTTAACGCGTTAAACTATTATTATTAGGGAGGCATTAGTATAGAAAGAGTATTTTAGTATAGTCTTAGTAAAAGTATACTACTTAGTATACTGCGCTGCTTGCTATATATCTATATTATACTTTTATACTTATATATATAGTAAATAGTTATTTTTATCTCTACTAGTACTTTAATTTCTACCTAGGCTAGGCTCTTATTCTTAGCTTACTAAGGCTCTATCTATTATTAGTATAGAATATTATACTTTTACTTTTATACTATAAACCTTACTATCTAATATAGATTATTAGCATATATAATCTAAGAGTTATATAATATCTTAGATTATAACTAGATTAGTAGTAAGAATATAGAATACTTTGCATTAATATATATTATAGGCAAGCAGCGCATATAGGCAAATAGCGCACTTTTGCTAAAACTCTACTAAAATACTAACCTCTACTAATGCCTCTATAATAATAATAGCTTAATATATTAAAAGAACGTTAGATATAGCTTATAATCTAAGCTCTTAAATAAGACCTAGACCTCTCTATATAACGCGCTGCAGCTATCTATAGCACCTCTAAAATAATACTATATATAAGATACGCTAGATAACCTTTATATATTAATACTATAGCTAATTTATAGAATCTAACTAATACCAAGAAGCAGGTAATTATTATATATATACTTAAGCTAGCTAAGTAAGGATAACCCCCCTAGCTTATAGATATAACTAATATTACTAATTCTCTATAGAAAGAGCGCAGTTTAGCACCTATTAGCTTAAACTAGGCTAGCACGTTTATTTTACGTTAGGAGGAGCTTAAAGTAGTTTTTAATTATAAGTATAACTATAAGCAAGCCCTCTATAAGGATCCTAAGGTTATATAGGGCTAGTTTAACCTTATAGCTAATACTAAAGCTAAGTATAGTATTTAGAATAATAATACTTATAACTTTAATAAGATAGGCTTTATAATAGGCTAGATAAGCTCTAGAGTAGTTATTATAGCTTTAGAGAACTATAGATAGGCAAAGGTAGTCTAGCTAGGCAATTGCAAGTAGGTAATAGTTATCTAGGGCATTAATACTATAGGGTAGGCTATTCTACCCTATATTATCTTTAAAGCCTACTGCTACTAGTCTAACTAGTATAAAGATAATAACCTGCCCTAGGATTAGATTATTACTATCTCTAAGAATAGCTAGACTACTAATAAGCTTAGCTTTAACTAGTTAAAGCACTTTAATAAGCATATAAAGACGCATACTATTAGCACCTACTATTTACTAATTATTAATAGCTATAAGAGCTATAACTCTATAGAATTTAAGCAATACTATAAGGATAATAATATTATAGGTCTATATATACCTGCGCACTTATTATACCTCCTGCAGCTACTTAATATAGCTTGTTTTAGCCCTCTAAAGAAGGCGTATAGAGATAAGGTTAATTAGCTAATATATAACTAGATTAACTATATTATAAAGTAGGAGTTCCTTCTATACTTTATAGCAGCTTATAATAGAGCTATTACCTCTAGCAATATTTAAGGAGGGTTCTAAGGGGCTAGATTAGCTCTATTTGCCCTAGATTGCGTTATATTAGCTCTAAATATAAAGCTGCGCACTCTATTACTACTACTCCCCTAAAATAGCCTGCTCTAGCAGTTGCAGACCCTAAGCAATACCCTAGAATTTAGGTCGCAATTAATACTTATAAAGAAGAAGATTTAGAGGCATATAGACAGCTTACTAACCTCTATAGTTAAAGCGTTTAAGAAGGTCTTAAAGGGGGCAGCAATTATTGCGCATAAGCTAGCTTTAGCATAATAGGAGAACGCTACGCTTTATGCAGCTCTAGCAGCTGCTATAGAATATAAATTGCGCAAAAGAAGGCATATCTAGACAGAGGGAAGCCTTATAGTTAAAGAGGGCTAGCAGCAGACTGCTCTATTAGAGTTTAGCGCACGTAGTAATAGAAAGAAGAGGAAGACGCAGGTGCGTGCTAAAGGAGGTAAATCATCCTAACAACGCTGTAGAAGGTATAGAGAGGGTAGGCACAACGCGCGAACGTGCAAGAATAGAGCAGAAGAGGTCTCTAAGTAATATTACAGCTTGTTTTGTCTTATGCAGCGCTAATTTGTGGTGTTTTAGGCCATAATACGGTATGATGGGGGAGAGTCTTGGCAAAAGTGCGCCGTTCGCCCATGTGCGCCGCTCGCCCGTGATGTACGTTATAGCTTTTGAGTCCTATATAAACGCATTAGGCGTGCTGTTAGAGCAGGTTGTTATTTTGCTAAGGCTACATTAAGCAATCTCTTGCGAGAACGCTGAAGTACTTTTGCGTTCGTGTCTTAGATAGAGGACGCTGAAGTTCTTGCGTGTTTACTCACTCCCAATTCACAATTATCTACCTGCTACCAGCTTCACGACAGCAGCCTTTGTGTCTGCTCCTGCCTGCTTTTGCTTAATAACCAGGCTATCGCGACTGCTCTTGAAGCGCTTCGGATGTACAGAGAGCGCAGCGGTGTTGACCTCGCTGTCTGGTAGGGAGCGGGACAGTTGGGAGGAGTATAGTACGCGGCAGAAGCGCATGGGCTGGTTTGACGAAGTCGGTGTCGCCTAACCGCAGCAGAGGCCTTGTGGTACGTTTCTATGGTGCACCAAGTGCGTGCACGGAAGATGGCCCGGCTGCGAATGTCGAAGACTGGCCTTTGGCTCGCCATCAGCACCATCGCAAGGGCGATGGCGATAGGGACACAAGACTTGCTCTCCAGTCGATAAAGCTGAACATCGAGCGAAGGCCCTAGAAATGAGTGTCAGCGATATAGCATCCATTTTGAACAAGCTCAATGCCGCCTTCAATGCTTTGCATCTTTGTCTTCTCTGCTTTGCTGACAATCTCCGGAGACATCGCAGCACTATCGCTAGTGACAGCAACATTCAGGTAGTCTTCTACCTGTAATGGTCTAGAAGAATAACTCATCACGAACATGGATAAGCGAAAACGAGACACTTGTTGAAGGCACATGCATGCTCTTGTTTGGTGCCAAGGCGCCCTTTGGACTGAGGACTTGGGATACGCACAGATCAATGGCGCATGGCCCGAAGCTGAAGCAGTCTGGACGCAGGGACAAAGACTCATCCTGGGCCCCCAAGTTCGCAGCCAACTGACGAAGGGCTGTCGTTCACTCGATAGAATGTTTAGGTATTATTGAGCTGGACATAGTGTCCACTTGCCCGCACCTAGCCCCAATCAAACTGTAACACCCTTCCGCTTTGCAGATTCGCCCACGACATACTCTTCTCTTTCTCCCCTCGTCGCCCATACAGTACAAGGTGAGCGTCTTAGCGGCGGCTGTGGCGGGCAGGACGCGCATATCACCATACGCAGTGCATTGGAGCAGTCGCGCTCCAGCAGCGCTGCAGCCAGTCCATGATAAGCTTACGATTCACGCGTATCTGCAGCAGTTCCTTCCTTGGGCCTCCGCCAGTATCTGACTATCAAACTTTCATGCTCGCTGGCTTATGTAACAAAGGATCTGATGCCAACCAGAACGTATACATGGACAAGCTGACATTGACAAATGTTTTAGCAGTCTTAGGATCAGAGGGCAAGGCATCAACTGAGTAAACCGCTGCATTTGTAAAGGAGCAAAATGCAAGACTATCACTTCCGACCCGTTTGCATCTCGTCGACCTTCAAAACACAATCGGCGGAGTGACATAGCTCTGAGCTCAGATGTAGGCAACATAAAAGTGAGGGCAAGCAGCAACTACATGGGTGTAATTCTCTCCACAGGAATATCACGCGGATACGGAATAGTAGCCGGTGCACCGAGTGCATGACCGTTCTCCCACACCTTCGTCTCCACACCGTTCTGAATCTCGACCGCATAACGAATAAACTTCCTCCTGATGCCACCAACAAACGTAATCTCGTGCTCACTAGTGTGGTTGTTCTTTTCCACTATAAGCCCTGGTTAGCCAGCGCGTTCTAATCTCGGTAGAGCAACACACACCTATCGTCGCGTTGACGTCGATTCCCCCGTAGCACCCGCTGATCACGTATCGGAACCTGGTCTCCTTGTCCCAGTTATCCGGCTTCCATATGGTAGGCGTACCTTTGTCGTCGTGGAAGGCGCGTGCGGTTGAGACGAAGACCGAGTTAGCGGTGGGGACGCCCTGGTAGCGTCTGAAGTTGTACATTCGATCAATCTTCATGTCGCGACTTAGTTGCGGGCGGAAGCCTCTATTGAAAATCTCTGCTGGCCTTCGGACATCCCAGCGGACGATGTGCTCGGCTGCTGCGTCGATTTGGTGGTCGCCCACTCTTGAGCCGTCTGGCACCTGGTTTTGGCGGAACACGAGCGGGATGTTTTCTGACGCTGCTTCGATTACGGTGATTGCGCCTTGGACGTCCTGTCGGTAGGAATCCTCGATGGCGGAATCGAATTCTGTGCGGGCTTGCATCTTTGATTTCTTGTAGAGCGCTACAATTGTTACTTCTGGACGTTCAATGAAGGCTGGAATTCTGCATACAATGATGCTGGCTTAGACACGCTTTGAATGGGGGCAGCGATGCTGGGTACAAGAAGGAAATGTTGTTGGTTTAGTAGATTCTGATCGTTTCCTGTAGGTCGTCACGGCCTACTTTATACTCGATAATACTTCCACCTCTTCTGCCCTCCCACGGAGAAGCCGAGTCTAGGTTGTTTTTCGTATCGACACCCAGGCCAAGCGCACAACTTGGAAGCTGAACATGCTAGTTGCACACATGATTCTGCAACAAGAACGAACTGCTTCAGCTGCGAATGCACCACTGGAGCATGCCCAATGCCAAAATAGGTGCTTAACGCACCACCACCGTCCCCATTTGGACAACTGTATGAACGCAGCACACCTAATCGCGTAGTTGAGCACCGAAAGCTAATCGAGAGTCATGACTAGTGGCGGGGTATGCTCCAAGTTGGGCAGAACCTCAGCGGCTGGACCGTTCTTCTAATTAACGCAGACTCGAGTGGCGCAGCCGGGCCGAGCCGAGGCGAGCTGAAGACCCCTGTTCCATGCACATGCAGCCTGGTAATAGCAATAGCAGATGCCTCGATAACGGTGAATAGCAGTATTGACTGATGTCTGTCTTTCGAGTCAATAAATAGACAGAGTACAGCAAGTGTACATATTGATAGGTACTGGTAAAGCAGCCTCTTTGGCTCCGCCCCTGACTTTGGTTATGGTTCCAACCAATGAGTTGATAATGCTATAAAGCTACATGTAGCAGGTGATGATAGAACGATCCCTAGCAAACTATCATGCCGTCTTTGCGATACTTTGTTGTAGTTTACCGCCTCTTTCATCCCAGCTTTCACGCCCATTTTGCGAACGCTCAACTTTCCCTCTTGCCCCGTCGCACATTTGCATTTCATATTGCCATTCTAACGACACTACTGTGTTTATGTTAGCTTCCAAGTGTTTCTGAAATGTTACGATTCTAAGAAGGGAGTGCAGAGCCGTGCAAAGCGATGGTTTCAAGCCAGTCCCGTCCCTGGAGCATCAACGGTATGTGACGATCTGCTTTTTCGTTAAGTAGAGGGCGCAGTGATACCTTCTCGCTGATGCCAGGGGTCTGTATGTTGTTCAGCGCCTTGGGTGCTTATTGTCTTGAGCCAGGGTTCCTGGCGCGACTCTTCTAGCCCACATCTAACACACGCGCAACGTTTCTTTCTCCCTGCCCAACTATACTTCGCAGTGTATACTCCGTTCTGTTTCAAATTTTTAAGCGTGCTAGCTCTTCCCATCCGTAGGTCGACGCGGCGGCTCGCCCTTGCGCAACGGAGGTAAGCCATAGTGATCTTTCGGTGAACGATCCATGGTGTGATATAGTACCTGCCACATACGGAAGATTTGTAGGAGATATATGATGTGTGTCAGACAGACATATTAGGTATTTGATGCAAATGATTGTGCTGTCGGTATCGCTGGCGGATGATAGGTCGCTTGGTCCACGGGCGCCGGCGGAGAACTAGATTTGGAGGGGATATTTTCAGGTCGAACCTGAATGATGTTGGAATCGAACAAGCTTTGATGAGATCCTATCAGTGTTTGTTCTTGAGATTTCGCAGTCATTGCATTTGCGGACAAGGGCGGCCCGGGCAAGGCCGGTACGGAAGTTGGATTAAGTGGCTTGAGCGACGTGAGCCAAAGCTTGCCACTACAATTTGCACTGAGAATACGGCGCCAGTGATGAATCCTGGCGAGCGTTCCGACCACGTCACCATAGAGATGTGTCCTGTATTCTGGCTCAGACCTAGTCTTCATCGCCAGCTTGCAGCACTCGCCTCGATACACAGGTGCGATCTGATTGACTACACTTATCCATCCTGCTGCCGAGACTGTACATCCAGTTTCTTCATTCGTACCGCCGTCTTGCGCGATATCTTTCGTGAGAGAAAAATTTCGCGAACGGTCGAGGATGTCGCGAAGTCCCGTTGGTAGAAGCGCTTCGATGTCTGGTGGGAAGTCATGATCGAGGTCGATGACGTTGTTCGCGGGCTTTAGCACGGTGTTTTGATGTTGGGAACTCTTTTTAGTTGGAATGCAGGAGCGCGAGTATCTTTGCGTCTTCCTGTGACGTAGCAAGAGGCAAAGAATGTTCGGTGCAGAAGCAGGTATACCAGCTCTAATCTGTCTGCGTCACTGCGAATTGTGCAACATATGCGACTCATAATCCTAAATTCTAGGATAGCTCCCCCATGTGCTTCTTTTGGAATGCATTGGGTGCAATGTTACACAGCATCATCCTTGAGGGGATCCGCGAGACGAATATCACTATTGATCTATAAATTGTTTCTCGACCGATAGTACAGCGCATTGTATCACTCTCTTTTGCCTATCGCATCTAGCAGATGCCTGTTTCTCCCACCAAGACTCACGATGGTATTGATAGCCCTCGACAACGATATTCTCAACCAGCTTTGTTCTGAGGACCAACTCGAGCTTCTGGATGCAGTGGATGGCCTAAGATCACAAGGTATTGATAGCTATATTTCCTTGCCGCAAATTATTGTGTGTGGCGATCAGTCTGCCGGAAAGAGTTCTGTGTTGGAGGCAATTTCGGGTGTATCTTTTCCCATTAAAAGCAACCTATGCACTCGTTTTCTGACAGAATTGGTCCTCCGTAATAGGTCGGAAATAACAGTCAGCATTTGGATTGTCCCAGATTCTTCTCACGGCGACTCCGAAAGCCATACGCTGTGATCTTTTCATGAGAGGCTTGACACCTTCAATGAATTGCCGGACTTGATCAAAAAGGCCAAAGCAGCTATGGCCATCTCCACTGTTGGAAGGATATCCTCCAAAGACCTACTTCGAATCGAGGTTTCTGGTCCCGATCGACCACAACTTACGATAGTCGACTTGCCTGGTCTCATGCATTCGGAAACCAATCAACAGTTTGCTGATGACATCGAAATGAATGGCCCAAGAAATCGTCAAATCGTACATGGAAGAACCAAGGAGCATCATTCTTGCGATCGTTTCTGCGAAAAACGACTACGCGAATCAGATTGTGCTTGAACTTGCTCGTAATTATGACAAAAACGGTGAACGTACGTTGGGCGTCATTACAAAGCCAGATACTAGCGTATCGGGCTCCCCTACCGAGCGCACGTTTGTATCTCTCACCAGAAATCAGGACGTGGTCTTCTGTCTTGGATGGCACGTGCTGAGGAACTTGGACTTGGATACTGGGAAGTGGTCTTCATTCACTCGCGACACTAAAGAAAAGGAGTTTTTCTTGGAAGGAATATGGAGAACTATGCCTAATTCGATTCTGGGTATTGGAACTCTGAGGAAACAGCTCAGTAGATTACTCCCTGCGCAGATCGCCACCGAACTTCCCAGCCTGGCAGCGGAGATCAACACCAAATTCAATCTTTGTCAAGATGAGTTGAAGAGGCTAGGCAAACCCCGTACAACTGCGGAAGAACAACTGATGTACCTGCTCCGAGTGAGCGAAAGATGTCAATCTTTAACTAAAGCTGCCGTGGACGGATACTACAACGATCCTTTTTTGAAAGACCCCAGATCAGACATTGGGTATCAGAAACGCCTACGAGCTGTTATACAGAAGCTCAACATAACTTTCGCAAACACTATGGAGAGAAGAGGACATCGTTACAATATCACCGACGACTCACCAAAGAAGGCCGCGGATGCGAAAACGACAACAATCAGTAGAGCCGAGTTCATGGATCATATAGAGCATTTGATTGAGAGAACTCGAGGTCGCGATCTTCCCGGTACTTATAACCCACTGATCGTCACTGCATTGTTTGAGCAGTCGCAACCTTGGGAAATCATAGTTCAGCAGCACCTGAGAGAAGTCTCTCAAGCTGTCAAGAACTTTCTTCGTCTATTCGTTTCGTACATCGCTGATGGAACAACTTCAAAGCCGCTCTTCCAAACTGTGTTCGAGCCATCCTTACATTCGCTCGAGGAAGACCTGAAGAAGAAAATCACAGGGCTTTTGGCAGCGCATCAACACGAGCACCCCATTACCTACAATCCCGTTTTCACTAAGATTGTCGATGGGGTTTGTAGTGTGAAGATGAAGCCTGGGTTTGCCTCAATCATCAAGGACTTCTTCCAAATCACCAGTCTAGATTCGGGTCAATACCACGAAGTATCAGATTTCAGCGGTTTACTGAAGGCTCTGAAGGAGTACACCCAGCCTATGCTTGCTCGTCCAGCTTGCTCCAAAGCTTTAGACTGTATGGAGGTGTATTATAAGGTAAGACAAGTGCCTTTTCACCACTGCAAAGTGAATTCGTTGGCAGAAGACTGACCAGATTAGATCGCTCTTCAAAGATTCGTCGACGATATCTCTGTGGAGGCTGTAGAATCTAACATGATGTCCAAGCTCCATGGGATCTTATGGCCTGTGAGCATAGTCTCGATAGCTGCGGGAGATGTGGAAAAGAATTGATGGTGAAACCGAGTCGAGTCGTATCCTTCGCACCGAGCTCGAGAACAAGTTGGAGGTTCTCACAATCGGTGCTCAGATCTGCACCCGGATCATTAGCATAGGGCTTCGAGGTAAGAAAACCTTACAACGTTGCCTCCTGTCTAAGCCTCACACAATTGCACAACAGGAATCAGTCCTGTCCCACTCATGGAAGCTCAGACTCCAGAAGCTAGACCAGAGTTGATCTCGGAACCTTCTTCCAAGCCATAAGCAGCTTCAGCGCTTTCTCCAACATCCACGATGAACTCTGGAGAAGATGTAGTGTTCGTGGAAGCATACAACTTTGAAACGAAGGAGAGCCCGTCCTCCATCAACGACTGTATTCTTTCTTAGGATGAAAAAGAAGCATTTTCCCCTCCGAAGAGTTACAAGAGAAAGCATGGAAAAGGTAAAAAGAAAGGAGTAGAGTAATTCTTGCAAGCTACGCAAGGCGTACTCCTCTCTCTTTGTGTTTTATGAACTCAGCGTCAAAGCATTCTTATCCCTTCCGAAGAGTTCTCAAATAAATACACAAAAACACAGGAGGCTAGATTTGGGGTGAGTCACATGGCATTCGTCACAACTAAGTAAACAAATTACTCACTAGTCCCAATAGATTATTAGGGCTACTGATCATTGTTTAAGTAATCTCAGGGATCTAGAATATCGAGCAATAAAAATTCGTGGTGATTTGCGTTCGTACCGTCCAAACAAGGCTGATTCGCAACGCAGACAGATTCTGGTGAAAGCACCGCATCCGTGAGCGATGCCATCTCTGTCCCTTTCATTCATCTAATCGATGAACCGGGTTCGGTAACATGGCCTGAGCCACACACACACCAAGAGAGAAGCCTCTTATGGACGGACAGGACGTGCTTCAGACCGCAGACATATTTCTTCATCCAAGAGGGGTTCATCACCGTAAATTGGTCGGACACTGTCCTAAAGCTGCGCTATAATAACAACAAGGTAACTATACTTCGGGACCCAAACGGTTGTTCCCATGACATATTGTCAAAATGGACATGCAAACTCACTAAAACGTTCCTAGAGCCCAAGAACCATACGTATGCCCTTTCCTGTAAGCTTGGCAGTCAAGTAGAGTCAATTGATGTAGTAGGAACACTTTTTCTGTTCCGGAGATTGTGTCAGATTGTTTTTGCAGCAAGCGAGCTCCAGTAGTTGGGGCTGCAGACGATGTCTGTACTGAAATGGATTGGACCCTGTGGGCGATAGGCTTTGGTACAATGGGCTTGGCTACGAATCATTGTAAGCGGTATGCTGTTCGCACCCGAGAGGCAAATTTTGGATTACAAATAAGGGACATGTTGAGGTTGCGCGAAGGGCGCTAAAAAAATTGACTATCAGGTCAGACGACGAAATTGAAGGACAACTTGCACTTCTGCTGCACATCGATGAGGTAGAATGATGGCTGTCATCCCTGGACAAAGAGGTGACATATGCAGACTACTTCAAGATCTCAAATTTCAGACGCACCGAGGCGGCCTGCCGTGCCTACATGATTCAGGTGCTTTCCGAAGTGTGGTTTAGGTCGAACATCGTCTACTTCCTCCAAAGAGGTGGCGGGGCGAAACACAGTCTTTTAACTTTGGCCTCGGCACGTCTGCATTGGCCTTCGTCGGCACGCTCTCTACCTGGTGAATTATGACCAAGTCCGGCCGCCGCCACATGTACCTGATAAGATAGAGCGTGATGCTGCTGTGTCCGTTGATTGTGGGCTTCATCGGCACCGCCACATCGAGCAACGCGGTGATCTTCTCTTCGGCTGCGTTCATGATGCTCTTCTTCCTCGCCTTCCAGGTCACCGTTGGCCCACCCACTTACGCTGTTGTTGCCGAGCTGCCTACCAATCGACTGCGTTTCAAGACAGTGTCCCTCGCCTGAGTCAGCTATAAACTTGCTGCGATCGGCGCCACCATCTTGAATCCACCTATTCTCAACCCTCTGGCATGAAATCTCTTGGGTAAGGGCGGCCTTTTCTGGGCTGACTTTACTGGTATAATGTTGATTTAGGCGTATTTCAGGTTGCCTGGGCTGGCGGGGCGAACGACTGCCGAGCTCGACATTTTGATCGACAACAGAGTGTCTGCGCGCAGTTTTGCAACGACTAACGTCGTCATCTTCGGTCATGGCGGCCACATCGCGCCTGATGCGGGGAAACCTGTAGAGCCCAAGGTCTAAAGCGACGAAATAGTTGCTGTGTCGCGCTTAGTCAGGCGAAAAAGCTTACATGTGCTCAACCGTCTACTGTGTAGCCAACTATTTAGCATCCGGGACAAACAGACGTCAGCAACAGACAGATATCCATCCTCACCCTAGCTTATTTCGATAGGAGCATCTCATCCTACAAAGATCCTCCTATATTCTGTAGCGTCTTCTCTACTCGTTGTAGTATCCCCTAACAGTGTGGTTCTGCCGCGTTATATGGTGATAAGTTACACAGTCACCCCGCATCCTTGTAATAGCACTCACAGCGAACGCATACTCAACAGGGGTCAGTTTCACTCCGCCTAGTCCGGCGAGGCCTCATAACATTAGTTCCTCTATATTTAAGAGATTTGCGGCGACAAACATGTGTATTCATCTTGTAGAAACAGACAAATACTCTGGTACAGCTGGGTATCGGCATGTGTTGATGGGGGATAGACAAATGAAAAGTGTTTAGTGGAGAAGAAATAGGCTTCTTCGTACAGGAGGGAGACACGTAGCACTTACCACAATCTAGGGGTCTAGTTATAGCCAGTTTTTAAGGGCAGGGTGTGTTATAGTTGTAGTTAGGGATAGAAAGCTAAGGCTAAGGCTTTAGAATGTCTTCAAAACCTAACCGAGATGCACTAGGTCTTGTCCGCCCCTTGACAGCACAGCTGCCCAATTAAGCCTAGCAAAGCGTGTCTCCTCTAATATAGGTTGCATCTCTTAGCGATATTTTAGTGGGGCTCGCTTAGCTACAAGTACCCTAAGCTCCCCCTAACAATCTCTAGTAAACACAACACATAACACACAACACACGAAAGTTACTCTGCAGCATAATTTGACAGTCACTATGTCAATATTAGTTCATAAGATGCTTGAAAAGCTCTACGAATTCCCAGATAGAGTCTTACAGCCAGACGAAGACCGCGATCAATTCTTAGTGCCTTGGGGGTTCACCATCTACAGGACCTTCTATGGACCTGGATCGGACGACCAATGGTCCAAGTTGCTCCAAACCATCACCACTGGTACAAAATACCGGCTAAGCATAATGGATGGTGGCGAGGATACTGTGGTTACCACCAAGTTATTAGAACTCCTCCACCTCGACGCGCGGTCGGACCCGACACTGCTAGACGGTCTGACACTGGAAGATGTGCGGAAAGTCTACATTAATGGCACTGGAGGTCAACCTATGAATGTCGCCAACGACCCCTGGCGTGTCTTCTTCCTAGCAGATGCCCAGGTACTGCAGGACCCCGAGCTAGGGCTGCTCAAAGTCGTAGCCGCCGAGTACGACCCTGACGCAGGATACAGGCATCCACAAAAATTCTTTGGCTGGATTACTATGCCGTCAGCAACGGTTGTGGATCTGTGGGATGAGCTGGACACGTATTATTTGTGGCAAATCGTGAATTTTACGACTGGGGGGCCGGGGGTGTATTGGGATGTGGATAGGATCTACTAAAACTGAAATGGATACTGTAATATTGACCCAACGTAGCTCAAGTGTCATGTTTGGTAGCGCGTGACCGCTCTACATCTCACCGCCCGACGTTGTAGGAATATACCAGACGCGGTCAAATGATCCCCGTCGTATCGATGGCCAGCGTGTTCAAGCGCGCCTCTAAGCTTGACAGCCCATCCAGAATCTCCTGGCTTTCGTCGTCCGTCCTTACACCCCAATATTTCCTTAACTCAATAATAGTGGCCTAACACCAATCCCTGTATTTTGTGATGAACCGGTGCCAAAGATATCTTTGATCCATTTAGACCAGAACTGCGCAACTGATGTTGGGGCATTAGGGTTGGCCGCGTTATACAGTGTCTGTGAATGCAGCCATTGTGCGCGGATGTTATTGGCAACATGCGCCAGGTTGCCTTTGACATTTGGTGTGTTTTGGCGGTTAAGGTAGATCATTGCTGCAATTGTGCCTCTGATCGCCCCGAGCACTTCCGCCGCATCGTCTACGCTTCCGCTTGTGATCCGGAGTAAGACTTTTGCTGGGCTCATGGGGTCTTTGTTTTTCAGCATCTATCACAGAACGGAATGCGTTAGCTCTTGTGATTAGCTCGGGCTCCCGTTTACAGGTATGAAGCGGTAGGCACTCACTATCGTTTTGTATCTGTGAATGTTGACGACAAGGCCCACGAAGTACACGTCATTTTTCCTAGACCCGACAGTCTCCATGATGCGTCCGTAGACATTTTTGAGGCTCGAGTCGTCATTCGGGTCGCCGACTCCTGTCAGCGGCGGCGCGTTCTGCAGCACAGGCTGGGTGCGAGCTTGGACGAAATAGGAGACTGAAACTGGTCCAGTTGTCGCGGTAGCGCCGCTACGAAGTCTGTCATTGGAATTTAGTGTCTGAGATTAAATCAAAGGTACCGGGGGCCTTACACGCCTCTTGAGGCATCTTGAATGAAATCTGCAATAAGATGGCCGTCGATGATGTGTTCAACTATAATACCATAAGCTGACAGAAAGTTCCCTGAAGAGCGGTGTTAATGCCTACCTTGAAAGTCTCTGTCCACTGTAGTCAAAGGCTGGTATTGCGATACACTCGGGTTACCACAATCATCCACGTCATCGTAGTCAAGTGACTCGTCCATCAGCTCTGGATGATACATACCGCTCTGTTGCATTTGCCTGGTGGTGAAATGCTAAGATCTGTTAGTTCGCTGTTAAAGTTTATCTCACTTAGACCTACATCTGATAGAGTCAGAGTGACGGAGCCTCCCTGAAGCCTGGCTGTGTATGTACGAGTTCTCTTCTCAAGCACAACAAATTTACCGGGGGCCTCCTCCGCCCCTCGTGGTGTAAGATGGCGATAATGATTACGATGACGATGGCGATGCGTATGATCGAAGGGATTCGTGGATGGAACAGCTCAAAGGCGTCGTTCCGGCATGTCAATGTCGCACTCATCGTCTACTCAAGGATCATAGACGCGGACAATGCTTTTCTTAGCCCATTTTGAGGCGCGTGAGTTCCAAGAGTAGAGATTGCACATGATTTGTTGTGTCAATTCGATCGGTCCTCGGGTCTGCCACGTGTGCAGTTTCTTCGCAAACTCGCGCAGGCTGGGGAAATGGAGATAGCTGAACTTTTCTCCCATAGCTGAGTTTGGTATCGATGCCGCAAGGTCAGAGAATGTGGTGGTGGCTGTTGGACCTGGATTGTTGAAAGAAACGCCTTGGAACCATAGTTTACTTTGCTTCAAACCAGAATGAAATCTTGCTCTTGCATGCTCTTGTTATATGCTGACCGGAAGTACTGGCCGTCCATTAGCCCGTCTATGTAGACGGGTCCGAGAAATCGGCACTCTTGCTGTTCGTGGCGAAGCGCATATGGGGCAAACCCACCGAAAAGTGCAACTATGATATCTCCCTCACGCATACAGTCAGGACCGATGCCCCAACTTCCGTTCGCCAGGCGGAAGAGGAGACGACCTTTGCACATCTTGGCTAGCTCTTCTGTGTAGCGACTTCGTGAGCCGATGTAAGTGGCATGATCGGATGTCATGCAGAACTGTGCGCCTTTGACTGTACTACTACAGTTTGTGGAGCATTTTGACATGATGTTGTGGATATAGTCAAGGAAATCAGCCAAGAACTGATTTCTCTTTTCCTCTGTGCCTTCTGAAAATCCGAATGGGAACCCAAGGTATCCTGCTGTCAACGTTCGAGCAATCATGAGAGACTGTTGCTGGCTATCGCAGCAGAGCATTTGCGTTCCTCGTCCGTCTTTCCAGAACCGTGTGGTAGATATCGCCATTTCCGGTCCCACTAACGATAGTACACTTTTGACTTCATTGTAACATGTACCATAAGCGAACAGCTTGCCTCCTTCGACCCGGTAGTAGCTCAGTGCTTTCTCATCTCCTCTCAGTGACGCTGGAAAGCTGAGTTTGAATCGAGTTTCATCGGAGGAAGAGAACCCTAGAGCGGTGCGTGCGCGATCCCACCTTGGCACCCATGACGGAAAATCAAGTTCAGGCCCCAAAATCTCCGGATGTGAAACATGGTTGAGGATTTCTAGATCCTGACTTACTCGTATGATCTCAACAGCAATGTCAGTGTAAACCTCTGCCACCGTTTTCGTGTAGTCCACGCTGATGCTTGCTGAATCAAAGCTGCTGAGTTTGCTCAATATTCCAAGAAGCCCATAGACCATGTCGCGCGAGTCGGTGGCTGAGTAGGGTCTAAAATTATTAAGGAGTGAAAGCAGAGCATCCTCTCGCGCAAGAACATGGGGGAGAGCGCTGATCGAAGCAAGACTTCTCCGGAAAGGGATATTCTGGACAAGTTCAGGCTGACAGTCTGCGGCTATAGCCAGAAACAATGCAACCCTGCGAATGTAATGATACGGGATCCTTTTATGTCCATATATTGCGTACGATTGTAACCTTGTGGCCTGAGCTAATACCACTTCTTGGACACACCATATACGCACAAACCAACTCTGATCGAAGAAGTCCTTGATCGCAGACCAGGATACGCTGATTGGAGAATGATCGGGCAATATCTGTAAAAGTAATATGATGAGATGATCGTCGTCGTCACTGAACCCGGCACGCACTCTGTGATCCTCCAGCAGAGTGAAGATCGTCATCAATCCGGTCTCAGCCGCGGTGGCGTCCTCATGGCTTGCCCCTCCAAGATAGATAACCGTGTTGGAAGTTTGCGAGTAGACTCGACCCATAAGAGGTACATGGATATTCTTTTCCTTGACATCAGCTTGATTCATGCATAGCGCATCAGCCCATACAGTTCTGGGTTCTCTAGGGTCGCGTATTGCCAGCAGAGCGTCGCGAAGGTTCCTGGTCACCAAGACATCGAGTTGGTTGCATTTAATGTTGACCAGATCGGACGCTTTGCCCCAGACGTACGAAAGGGCCTCGTACTCTGGCGCTACTGCTGCTTCATATTGCCGGAGTTCGCATTGGACGGGGTCATCATCCTTCTCCGATGGTAGAAGGCTGAGTAAGCGGATATCACAGGCGGCTAACTGAGTCGGATACAGTATGCGACGGTCTCGATCAAGTGATTCCGGACATTGCATCGATTGCAGAAGAGAAGGCTGCATCTCGTGACCGTAATTCCAGACAGTCGAGTGACACCGAGAATGGAAAGTCCAGTTTACTCGGCCCAGCAATGTAAGTTTGTTTGCGCTGACTTTAGCTGAGGCTGTACCGCCCCGAGTGTTATCAAATGCGGTCCTGCGAGAGTTGAACCAGTGCTGGTGCCGGTTCTCGAATTTTAGCAGGATGCGATAGCTGAGCGTACATACACTTGATTTGAAAATATCAACGGGCGAATAGGCAGTGTACAGGGCAGCCTGGCGCTTATACAGTGTGTTAGCGCCTGCTGTAGCCTGCAGTGTCCGTTGATGGCGTACGCTGGGGTGCGTCGACAGAGACCAATACTGTTGGCCGGATCGTGATTCTTCGTACTGATTGGATAGTACAAGTTGTATTGATACAGTAGTAGCTAAACCTTGTTTCTGCAAGCTACAAATTCATTTAACGAATTCTTATCTTCTAAGCTAGGTTGCTTACATTATTCAAGGCAAGATACGTAGTTAGGTAACCTAAGTACTAATAGTAGCAGCGTTGTTATCAATCTAATCTTGTAATACCATAATAAGCCGCGTATAAGATTTCGTCCCGCACGTTCAACGGATTCATTAGGCGTTCTCGTATGCGCATAAGCGCAGCCTTGATTAGCCACAGCGCTCACAGCGCTCAATTCCAACAAGGGTCTAGACGTAGCGCAGCGTGTGACACGAAAAACTGATGGGGCGGTGGTTCTTGACGTAGCCAATGATAGGCGACTTTCACGGCCCTGTACGCGTTGGACATGTATTGAAAGGATCGAGCTTGGCAAATTGTTTACTTCCCAAGTGTTAGCGTCTGGAACGTTTGCCTTGTCTGCATTGGATGATAGCTCCCTGCCTCTTGGCGCATACAGGCTCGCCTACTTCTCGAACGATGGTTCTAGCGTGGGCCCAATGAGAAGGTTCATGTGTGTTTCAGCCTATTGTCTTCGTTGTGGAATGTCATGGGTGAGCAATTGCCTCTTTCGTTCTAGGTCAATGCCGAACCGCCCGACGCAGATAAGCACTACACGGTCGTACGAGAAATCGCTCCGGGCTGGGCCATTGCCGGCAGGCGCCTCTTGTTCGAATAGAAAATACCTAGAGAACGATGCTCGTCCGCCGTAGTCCGCCAATGAAAGTACGCCACGCTAGGCAGCGGGTGCTAACGCTCCTTCGCCGTGCAACACACGCATTATATTGCGCATAACATGGATGCTCCGCAAGTGAGTCCTTCTTAGTATGTGCGTGCTTCCGCCACACATACATAGTTAGTTTCCAGGATCGTAGGCAAATGGGATCCCGCGACCTGCCAGACATAGCAGCGAGCAGCAGGTTCAGTCAGCCAAGTGGCGTCCAGAGTTTTGCCTTCTTTGATTCAGAACTTGGCAATCGTTCCCGACAAGTGGTGCAGGAAATCGGGCTCTGTACATTCTGCACCGAACAGGGCTTTGAATCGGATATATAGCTTTTGTGAATGATATGTCAGTCCCCGGTACATCTCAGTACTGCTTGTTCATCGTCTCCAGCCGTCTTCTGCGCCTCATTGATCACCAACGACTTCGCCATTGTGATGATTGACGTCAAGCGCTCCCATGTGGGCGAAACCACCACTCTCCAGGATTTGAAAGGCGCTCTCCGGGTGGGAACCAGTTCGACGACAGCATCCTCAAAGCAGGCGTTGTCCGATACACAATACAGCATCGGTTTCGACATACTTTTACAGGGCTCGACGGCTTATGAACATTTCATATTCCCACAACTTACTCGACTCCTGGCTCCACTACTGGATTCAAGAGACCGTATCTCTGTCCTTGAGATCGGACCTGGCCCAAAGAGTGTGCTGGGCTGTCTTCCCGACTATCAGAAGAGAAAAATCCGACGATATGAGGCTTTTGAGCAGAATCAAATGTCCGCGAGAAGTCTAGAAGAATGGCTTTCGGTCGATGCTAAAACGCGATCACGATTTCCTTGCCTGGAAGATCCACCGACCATTCATCGTCTCCCATTCGATCCACAGCAAAGCACATGCAATGGCCGCAATGGCGATGTGCACGACGCTGACGGAAGATACGACGTAATCCTTTTTTGCCACAGCATGTATGGCATGCCATCAAAAGGAAATGTCATCAAACAAAGTCTGGAACTGCTCACAGAGACGCGAGGCGGAGTGCTAGCGATCTTCCATCGTGGAGAAAGTCTGCACCTTGATGGTTTGGTCTGCCATCAGACTGCTTCTTTCCCCACCGGAGTCGTCAGAATAGCAAATGAGGATCAAGTTTTAGACAACTTCGCACCCTTAATTGCAGGTTTTGTAATGCACGAGAAAGAGACGTATAAAATCGTCCAGGGCGAGTGGCGTAAGGTGTGCCGCAACCTCGGCTTTCAGGAGGAATCATATCCGGACCAGCTATTATTCAGCTCGCCCGAAGTCATGGTGGCTTTTACTCGGGATGCAACCGAACTTTCAACGCTCACAACGCCGCTGCCAACATTGAGGGAAGACAGACGTATCAAGAATCAACAGGCTCGATTGCACCACCCCGCAGCAATCTCTAGGCCAACCGAGATCGATCACATTCAGCATTACGTCCGATGGGCGCTCGAGCACGGAACCGGCTTGACCGTTATCGGCGGGAGTCATAGCGGTCACTGTATCTGGAATAACATCGTCTCCATTGACATGGGTGCCTTCTGTCGAGTATACATCCATAGAACAGAACAAGACAGCGTACCTACAGATGTCGGTTGCGAAACTCTCGTCGTTGCTGAGGCTGGCTGCACGACTGGAGACATCATCACTAAGGCTATGGCGGCAGGGGTGACAGTACCTCTGGGGTCCCGCCCAAGCGTAGGGGCAGGTTTGTGGCTGCAAGGTGGCATTGGACATCTGGCTCGAATGCATGGCCTCGCCTGCGATACTATCGTGGGTGCTATCATGGTCAGCGTCGAATCTGGTGAAGTCCTATGCGTTGGTTATGTACCGAGTCGGTATAGGCCGGCTACATGCATCCGCCCGAAGAACGAAACAGACATTCTATGGGCATTGAAAGGCGCAGGAACGAACTTCGGCATCATTGTCAGCGTGACATTCAGGACTCACCCCGCCCCTACATACCAGGTCCAGACTTGGGCTGTGCCGCTGAGCAGTCGTATTGAAGCACAGCACAAACTCAGCAGTCTCGATACAGAGGTCGCCAGCAAGCTCAGCAGGGACTGCTCTGCAGATGTCTACTTGTACTGGGACGATGATCGGCTGCACCTCGGTGTGACTATGATTGTATTTACCACAACAATGCCAACAGCTGCAAAGTGCTCGTTCTCCGCGGCTATCTCTTCTGTTCTAGGCGCGGAAGAAAGCAGCGTCAAGAGTGTTGACGGCGTCGGTCTATTCGATACAGAGATGTACGTTTCGAAGATGCACGGTGGTCATGGCGGGGGCAAGACATCGTCGTTCAAGCGTTGCCTGTTTTTAAAGGGTATCGGCGACTGGAAGGTGGCTGAGCGCTTGGTGGCAGCTGTGGAGGGTCGGCCATCAGCGCTGTGCTATCTGCATCTGTTGCAAGGCGGGGGAGCGACTAGCGACATCGCGGCCAACGCCAATGCTTTTGGCTGTCGAGACTGGGACTTCGCTTGTGTCATAACTGGTGTCTGGCCTCGCGACCAAGATGGCACTGAAGTCGCACGAGCTGCTGTTAAGTGGGTTTATGGTGTTGCGGAACACTTGCTGCCGATTTCCAAAGGCGTCTACAGCGCCGACCTCGGGCCGGACCCTAGAGACGCTGTCCTTGCGCACAGAGCTTTTGGGCCTAACCGGCAACGGCTAGCGCAACTCAAATACCAGCTAGACCCGCAAAACGTGCTGGCTTACACCTGTCCACTCCCGAAAGCCCCGCTTGGACCAAAGCTTATCCTTCTCATTACAGGCCAAAGCGGCGTTGGTAAAGACTACTGCGCTAATGCGTGGGTCTCGATGTTCGCAAAGCGCTCTCTATCGTCTCGCGCTGTGAGCATCAGCGAAGCTATCAAGCGGGAATACGCAGCGGCTACTGGCGCTGACGCCAGTCGCCTGCTTTCTGAACGTGCCTACAAGGAGCAGCACCGCACAAGCTTGACAGCCTACTTCCTAGATCGAGTGCAACACGAGCCGCAGCTGCCAGAAGAGCAGTTCTTGCAGGTAGTGAACGAAGCCGCAGACGTAGGTGTGCTGTTGATTACTGGTATGCGAGACAATACGCCCGTTGCAGCCTTTTCGCATCTGGCACCAAACAGTAGGCTGATCGAGGTCTACGTGCATGCTAGTGCGGGAGCACAACGGTCGCTTAAAGATCGTCACGCTGTTGAAAGTGGCGGTGCAAGCCATAAGAGCAGCATTTTAGTCGAGCCGAGTTTGAATGCCTTGAGTCACCAGCCCTGTCTCACTTTTGACAACAAAACAGCTGGCGATGAAGCTGCGAACAAATACTTCGAAGACTGCTTGTTACCCTTGGTACACGAGGACTTACTACGGCTGACTGACATGGTGCGTTCAATACCCAACTTTCCACGCCAAAACATCGTTTTCCGCCATGTTATCGGCATCTCCCAACAGCCAGGTGGTCTGGCCTTATGTACGTCTCTCCTGCAAAGACTCTTCCCTGGGGACTGGAGCACTGTCACGGCGATAGCATGTTGCGAGGTTGGCGGGATCGTATTCGCATCTCCGTTATCCCTTCACGTCAATGTTCCCTTGATACTCGTACGAGAGGCTGGTAAGTTGCCTCCGCCGACCTTCTCTGCTGTGCAATCTCGATCCCACATCTCATCACTGATCTCCAACGAGTCATACCAGAAGCGGGTAGAGATTGGACGAAACGCTGTACCCAAGGGTGGTCCAATTGTGGTGGTAGACGACACGCTTGCTACCGGCGAAACGCTTTGCGCTGTTTTACAGGCGCTCAAAGTGGCTGACGCTATTAAAGATGTGACTGTATTAGTAGTTGCTGAATTTCCAATCCATCGTGGACGGGAACTCCTGTGCAAACGTGGGTTTGCACATGTTAAAGTCCGCAGTCTGCTATCATTTAATGGTGCATAAAGGATCAGTTTAACACTAAATCACTTTCCTCACACAACCTGGCACAAAGATGAATGAAAGTGCTGCCTTTACTCTGTTCCCCAATTTCAGTCATCAATTCAGCTAGTTGTGTCCAGTATTGATACTCTAAATTTGCAAAGGCACCCATTTCTTCTTTGTTCTTCTTGACTTCTTAGAAGGATCACTGGCTTCCCTTTTGTTCTCGCCAGCAAGTGCGCATCCGACCGCTCCCGATTCCCGCGCGGATTGGTCTCTTGAGGTGCCCGTCCAGACACATCGCTCGGTGCTCATATTCTTGGATTTCTGACCAGGTACCGCTAGTTGCGGGAACTGTTCCTTTGGGGAAGAGGCCTTCCGCGGTATTACAGTCGTACATCTGGCATTGCGGTCGCGAATGGGGAGCGAGAACGATGAGTATACATTTGGATCAGGACTGGCCCATATTCCCCGAACTGCCCGTTCTGCTATTTCTGTTGGGGCACCGAGTCGTGGAAAGGCGTCGTCTAGATAGCTTTTTCTTCCCACCGATCGCTCATCTGTTTCTACATGCTCCAATTTTTTTAGGAAACCATCCAAGTCAAACGGTGGTGAGGCGTGATTTGTGCCATACATGCCTTCATCGTGGGGGTTCTGGTCGTTGCCGACGTCTCGATCCTCAATGTCCGACGGAACGGCACCTTGTGACCTTTCTAGGAAATCACGGAGCCTCGCAAACGCAAATTGATTGACGTCCAAGTCCCGTGATCCTGAACTTTCAGGCGCTGCGTTCTCTACCCCTGACGAAACAGCCCACGTGCGACCGATTCGGGAGTCCGACTTAGTAGTTTCCCTCAGATACGATACGTCCATGATACCTAGAAATAAGGCCCTGACTCTCGGGTCTGGGTGGCGGGAAGAAAGAAGACGAGCTGTGGTCAGCGTTGGTGCAATCTTGCATCTGACTTGTACGTCGGGATTCGCACCGTTCCGAAGTAAGAGCAGAACGATCTGGAATACTTCATTGTGGAAAGACCTTTGGAAAATATTTTCTTTACTCATTTCTCCCAGGAGGACTTGGTACAAGGCTGCGTCGATTTCGCTTGTGTAGAACTCTGATCTGCGTTCAAGCAAATGGCTCACCAGAGTCACCATCTTTGCAGCAGATGCCCTTCGTAACAACTCGCCGTCGGCGATATATGACTTTCCGTTGATTGGCTTCAAAGCGTGCAGAAGCAGTAGCGCAACTCTTTCGTGGCCTTTTGAAATTGCAAATGCGAGTGGTATGTCCTTGCTCTGACTAAAAGGATGCGCCCCGAGCTCCAGCAATAGATTCACCATATCTGCGTAGCCATAGTATGTCGCGACCGAGAGCGGTCTCGGCAATACAGCCGGTGTACGCAAGTAGTTCGTAGTGGTGTTCACGTCTCCACCCCTGCATATGATCCTCCGCGTAAAACTCCTGAGGTCTCTCCTCACAGAGAACTGAAGCAAGCTGCTCCCTTTGTATCGAATGTTGTCGCGCAGTAGAGCGTCCATGATCAACGGGTAAAATCTACGGCTCACTCGCGCAAAGCGGCTTTGGTCCCGAATGCGTAGGTACTGAATGATTTCCAGAATGATCTCGTTTGGAAAGGTAGTCAAACATTTGCCGAGTTTGGTTTGGTAGATTTTGACTGTGGAATAGAATTGATGGTTGACAGACCGAAGGGTTCTGCGATCTGAAGAGGAAAGATGAACAAAAATCTCGGGAAGAGCGCGGATCATCATGTGGAAAGCGCTTTTGGCACAAGAATCTCCTCGATGAGTACTTGTGGGTAGTGTCAGAAATGTTGCGAAGATGGCAAATGAACACGCGCGGAAGCTTGATGGAGGCCTTTTCGCAAGCTATCGGGACTTTGCTTGAACCCGGGATCGGGAAGTCTGTGATTGGTGAGGTGTCAGGAATGTGATGCATGATGTGATTAGGCCGCAACATGGCATGTTGTATAACATACTTCCTCGGCTACAGCTCTTGCTTCGTTGTCCGCAATGTTGATGGAGGTTAGACAGCAGCCTTCCCCGCATTCTTCGTCAGCAGAAGCAGAAACTTGGGCCGCTGTCCATCTTTGGCGGGGCGTTTACATCGTACTAGCATGATAAGAAGCAAGAAAGAAGGTGCGTGGTACTGACCTCTTGGCACTAGCGTTTCGGGTGAGAGTCCCGCTTGTGGAGCCAATGGACTTTTACCAAGTCTGTACACATTGTGTAGATAGCTAAAAGCAGGGTTAAGGCTCCGGTACTGCAAGGTGGAAATTGCGGCAAGATTGTCCACCGAAAAGCGTTGAGCTGAGAAAATATGGGTGTATGACAATATCGAGGCTGTGTTATCGCGCGTTCATGACCTGTTCAGCATCACCGAAGTGCCACGCCGTCGTTCTTTGCAACGTAAGATGGAATTGCGAAAATCCCACGGACGTTCCGATAAAGACAACTGCCTAACTGTTCGTAAGGAGAGCTGCACGGAGCCTATCTTTTTCGTCCCACCATGCCGGTGAAGCTGCTGGAATTACCCCGCCTGCTGTGGCACATGACAAGGCTGCAGCGTTAAACTCGTCTCATGGGTAAGCTTTAGTCCCTCGAATTCCGTCAAAACGCCACTATATCATGCTCTGCTGTTTTCGCAATCTTGAGTTGAGCCCTCCAACTTTACATACGTCATCCTACACCCTGGATACTACGCTAAATTAATATATCTCCAGACCAAAATCCGAGAAATCGATTCCAGATGTACTACGACAACGAGTGCGAGACATGCGATCGTGAGTTCGGTAGTCAGCAAGCTGCTATACAACACATGAACGCACTTGATCACTGGGGTCCACGCTATGAATGCGACACATGTGATCGAGAGTTCTTCACTCAACAAGCGGCGAATCAGCACATGAATGACACGGATCATTGGGAGGCACGGTTTCAGTGCGATACATGCGATCGGGTCTTCTCCACTCAACGGTCAGCTGACCAGCACATGGTCGACACAGGACACCGAGAACCTCGATATGGGTGTGATATCTGTTCTCGAAGGTTTGATACCGAAATGTCTGCCGATCAGCATATGAACGCCGTTGGTCATCACAAACGAAATTTCTGCGATAGCTGTAGCAGATCATTTCAGAGTGAAAACGCTTTGAAGATGGTATGTCTACTGTGCGGACCTTAGTGGCCACTCGTCCTTCTGTCGTCATGACAAGGCTATTATTGACTATCAACAGCATCTCAACTCAAGCACTCATCGCGGTAGAAACGTTGTATGTCCCTTTTGCAAGATGGCTTTGACCTCAGCCAGTGGTCTATCGCACCATCTTGAGACTGGCTCATGCCAACGAGCCAAGAATGTCAATCACCGAACAATCTTCCAGGCTATTAGTCAGCGAGATCCTGGTGGCATATTGACAAACAGACTGCTCACCTACCCCGATTTCGACACCGAGCAAATCGCCACCGATGGCACGTGGAATGGCTCTAGCTTCGAATGTTATCTTTGTCGTCGCGAATATGATACGCTTCGAGCTTTGAACCAACATCTGAACTCGCCAGCTCATAGCGAGAAACTGTATCATTGCCCAAACCGCAATTGCGAAGGCCAATTCGTACGGTTAGCATCGCTTTTCAACCACCTTGAAAGTGAGAGCTGCAACTTTGTGCGGTTTGAGAGGGTTCAGAAGCATGTTCACAACTTCATTACGGGAGGACAAAGACTGGTTGGTTTTACCTGAATGTCTGGGTGTTTGTATCAAAGGTATTATTGTCAAGATCAAGATGCGTAGAGGGATGCATGCTAATCTGAATCATAGACGAATCATCTAATTGACAGCTACGGGTGCAATATAATTGGCGGTTCTCAGCACACTGATTTCCTTGCCACGCAGAGGGGAATGTTGGCGTAGAATAGCTGATCAGGGAATGATATTCGTAAAACAGCGCACGTAGAGCAGCATAATTCCTACCACTATATTCGATAGGCACAATGTCAACAAAAAGACCTATTGTCTAGGAGCCCAAAGCGCATATGTGCACATTGTGCTATTAGGTTGCAATAGTATTAGATGTTGTCAAGCTCATTGTTCTTCTCCAAGCTGGAAGATAGTGTTTTGTATATCAGACGTTTATGTATGTCCAGAATCCGGTTGCTGGCGGCCTTCATCCAGTCGTATCAGTCCAAATCTTCTTTGTCATCGGTAAAAATGTATCATTCCTCGTGAACGTCACTTGCAACTGTTACAGATTGTGATTTCGAGTCAAGGAAAGCTACAAAGACCGTATGCGTGCTGATACGGTCGCTACGGATGAATGGGGCCACGTTACATCCTGGGGCGGCTGCGTGGGCGATGGGGTGTTCAAGGGATATGATTATACGCATCAACGTACGTCCATATCTACGTGGGAGAGAAGCGTCTTCAGACTGGGAAAACTTGATGTGGGAGCTCTGAAATCTCTCATAATCTGCGGTATCTGCGGATGCAAGGACTTCGATTGTTTCAAAGAGCCCGCTTCTTGTGTCGGAGTTGCGATTGGTGGGTCCACTGATTTTGACAGAGATCTGTACCAGGTTGCAGATGAACAGGGGAGTATCACTGAAAGGTCAATGGACAGCTCTGACAAAGCCATCGAACCGCGTGCCTGCCTAGTCTGGGTCGGGCTGGTTCGGCCGCAAAATCTCGATCCGAGATGCTTGGCACCCGTATCCTGGAGGCGTGAGTACAACTATGTTCTTGTTGCGGCAGATCCCCAGAGGCTTCTCATCGAGCAGCGATAGCATAAGGCATTCGCTAGCTCTTGCATTCACTAACGACTGGTCGAACGTCACGCCAGAATCTCCACACCGCCCCTCACAATGTCTTCTTGGGGACCTAAATCCAGACTAGAGCGCCTCCTGTTATGAGTAACAGGCGGCCAAGCTGCAATAAGGGCAGCGATTTAGATATAAGTACAAGTCAAGCTGCCATGTGTCGTCTTTGTTGACCTCGTCCCAGGGTCATTCTCATTGTGTACTTAGACTAGGTAAACCTAGTAGTATGTAAGGTCCCGATCTCATACGTAGTTCCCCTGACACTTTCAATCTCAACACTCGGCTGTCTGTTCCAAGTCGCGATGACACTCGATGCCTACCGCATCAAGAACAATGCACAGATCTTTCTCCAGTGTATCTTCAACACTTGTCTGTCAGTATTAACGGTATGTCAGTACATTTTCATCAAAGATGCAAACGGACGAATCGTACAGGGCTATAACCGGGATTTACATCACCTTCGCCAAAAACGAACGCAACTTCTGGCAGCACGTCTCACCTGGGCTTGTTGTATGCGCAGCAGTTTTGTGCGTTTGTAGCGCTACTATGTATTGGCTGGCTTTTGCTCTGCATCGGGAATATGCTTGGGCGATCTACCAGCACATCAACCCTGACAGGGAAACGAGCAACCGTTACTTTACATACCAGGTGTGTTTATCAATGCTCAGATTCGGTAGCAGGCTATCAACAAGGGCTCTAGATCTACCTCGTAATCTTGAAGTTTACGCCGTTCTTCCTTATCGCGTTTGTCATTACCTATGGTCTTATCGACGTTCACTATAACGAGCCTGAATTCTCGCTGACCATGGCTATTATCCCTCTCGCGCTTCTTAATGTTGCGCTTGCTGTCTTTGCTATCCGAAAAGAGAGCAGAGGTGTCATGGCAGCCGCCTTGGTGTGTTCCGTTCACCCGATCCAACGAATGCGTGAAGCTGACTCTTTGTTATTATAGACTCTGCAAATTGCTGAGGCTGCCTATCTAGTCAGCAGATTGGCTGTCCTGTACGGAAAGTCCTTGCGAGCGCGTACTATTATGAAAGAAGAAATGGTTTTCTTCGCGCTCATGGCTCTGCTGTTCGCGATAGCTGCTACTGGTGTCGGGTGTGCATGTGTAATGAACTTTGGCAAGAGCTTGAAGCCATTCCTCCAGGTCGGAGCTAGTCGGCAGGAACCCGAGTTGAGCGATACAGCCTATCATCTTTACCCCGTGGACGCAAACGATCCGTTGGCATCGCAGAGGACATCGCGTCGATTCATACTAGAGTAATTGCGTAGATGAATTGGTGTCACCAGATACCCCTCTGGAGCTCATGCAAATGAAAGATAAGTCCGTGTAGACGAGTGATCAGCATCACGACAAGCCGAAGCTAGAACACAGTGTCGCTTCGTCGACCATCGCATCTCTACTAACATCACCAGCACAAGGAGCTCCAAGTCTATTCCATCGGAACGCTCTCAAAGAAGACATCTGGCTCCCGAAACAATTTGCCACATTTAAGGTTGCTTTCGAGCATATCCCTAAACCTAACATTCTTGGCCGTGACTGGCCCATAGTGGTGACTTCCCGCCGACGCAGCCCGTAGCGCTCATGGCTATCTACAACCTCATCAACGGTGCGCAACTTTGCTACATCCACCGGCGGTATCACTGACAGCACCTCCTTCGCGTTTGCTTGGCACTCGTGCTATGTCACGTGACCGCGCGTCAAACTAACGCCTCAAGCTCGAGGAGCTCAACCTCGGTCTCGTCGATACTACGCCATTCAGACTGAGACTGGTACGTCGCACGGGCGACCAAGTCTCCCCAATCATCTACACAGCCGTCTCGCGGCTGCTCCTGCCCATCGTCATGTGTGATAGCACCCTCCGCTGTGCCCCTCGCTGTGCGCCCTGCAGCGCGGTCGCTGCAATCACCAACGCGACACTAGCGTGGCTGCCCGAAAGGCTCTCGAGTCCACGCCTACCCAACCTACATACGAAGCGCCACCGCGGGGATGGGAGCTAGCACAACCGTGCCGATGCTGCGAGGGCATACGTGAAACAACGGTGGGAGTGGGCGGCTGCGCGTCTAACTGTTTTCTGTCATATGCATGCGATGGTGGTGGTGCTGCCGTATCGTGAGTCATGGGTTTGGTGTTGACCTGCGCTCGCGCAGCGAATTGCCGGCGGGCGAGGGTGTGGACACAGCCCCACCACCCGTTCGGCGGCCGCAGATCACCCAGCGCTTTGACTATGTCTCCATAGGAACAATGACGTTCACATCGCGAGAGTACCTGCGTTTACCCTTGGCCCTTTGCTCTAAGCCTCTTGCAATGCCCTAGCCGGTGACGTAGGTTTGTTCAGCGTTCTCATCGAGCGCGTTTGCGCGCAGCTCCGCGCCGAAGCCTGCCACTCTCAGGCACGAAGGCCGCTGTGCAGTCGGTCAAAGTCCTGTCCATGGGGTTACTCGTTGGAATCAAAGTCTTGATTATGACGTAAGTACAGCATAGTATCTCAGCAGCGTGGCAGTCACAGCTTGAGATCCCTCGATGAGCTTGCCGCCAACGAAGTGGCGTGTTACAGGCACTCGAGACTGAGGGAATTTTGGTTCTGACGATTATGCGCTGTAGACTTGAATGATCCATGCCGTCTTGCTGCTGCTGCGCATGCGAGCAAAGTGCGAAGCACCGCCGCATCTGGGTTGAAGAGCTGATGTGGCACAGGACCAATAGCGCATTTGTCAGGCGTTACCTTCACGCCTGGCTCGAGCATGCACAGCTGTCTGCTATAAGATATGGGTTCCTCACCACCCCTTCTCATCTCATTATCTTACACTCCAAAGACGTACCGCATCGCCCTTCACGACTCACCAGAGCCCGAACACTTTTTGCAAGCTCGACATCATGACTGCTACAACAGTTTGCAAGCTCTCACCGTCCGCGAGCGCGTTCAACACCATGCTGACCGCGTTTGTTGGCTCTTTAATCAACGGTCTTTCCTCAGGACCAATTCTTGCTTTTCTCATCGGCTGGATCTCGTGGTTGCCCGTCATTCGCATCCTTGGCGTGGGAGCATATCAGCTGCGGCTCGCCATCCGAGCTGGCACGAGCATGTCCGCACTTGGTATTGGAAAAGACCAAGCCACCAACGCAGAATGCCTCCAGATGGAATCCTCAGTTACTGGAGCAGCAGCGGACAATCAGCCACAAAACATGGAATCGCAACGCCCAACGCACGACGCTGCGCAGAACTCATGCGTCGCCCTATCGACGTTCATAGCCGCCATCGAGGCCCGCAAACGTCGAGTGCTCGCCTCCATGGACCAGTCTGTGACGTTTCTCGGCTGGCTCGGCTGGGTTTGGAGCGCCCTGTACACGCCCATCTCGCAGACAATCTGGGTGTGCGTGCGCCTCAACACCCCGACACCAGCGCTAACCATGTTCGTCCACGGGCTCTCTATTGGTGTGTCTGCGCTTGGCCTAACATTCGACACCAAGATCCGCTACGGGGTTGCTCTTGGGCGCAAATGGGGCCCCTGGGCGTTTTACGCGTTCAATCTCTGGAACGCAGGTGTATGTCTACTACTAGGCACGGAGGTGCTAGTGCTTTTGATCTACAGCGTAGTAACTGCCAGCAATCTTCCAATCCCGCTAGTTGTTATGTACCCCCTACTTAGCATCATGTGGGCTGTCGGGAGTTTAGCAATACTTCCGCCCGTGAATGGTGGGACCTCAGGAAAAATCGTCTTTGGGTTGCTGATGGGTGCGTTTTCAGGCGTGGTTGTTGCGGCACCGTCATTTGTATTATGGCAGCACCAGAAGGTTGATAAGAACTTTGGGGTTTTTATTCAGGATGATGCTGAGGTCGGCCTTGGGTTGGGAGATTTCCTCGCGTGTGAAGGGGTGAGTGTTTGGGCTAAATTTGCTGCTATTATGCCATGAGGTGTACGAAAAGTTAAGCCTTCGTCAATCAGAGATGGGGATTTCATGCTGGCTTTACACGAAGAGGGATCACCGGGTGCATAGCAACGAGTGTAGCGCACTATTTGTAGGCCAGGCTAGGTCAGCGGGTTCGGGAACGCTTCCATACTAGTAGCGGGGGGCATGGGCGCTAATGGCCCACGTGTTCGCGATCTTAGCTTTTGCAATTGATTGGTTATAAATTAGACGCCCAACAATACTTCTCGCAATCGTGACAACGCGTGCACCGCCGCCGACCCACAGGCACAACTTCTGCCATCACCAAAAACGTGCGCCGCTTGTCGAGCTTAATCGAATGAGCGGGCAGTGTGAGACAGGAGTCTGGCATGTGAAGCGGATGGCTCGCGAACGCGTGCTAATAGGTTGTGGTTGCCAGATGCACGACGTTAGGTGGCAGGCCTGTTTCGACGCTATGTAGTGCACGGAGTTTCTGCTGATCTGGCGCGTGTCACGGCCAGGACGCTAATCAAGAGCGACTGGGCTCCCGACAAAGTGAGGTCCTGCATCTCAGCTCGATATACCATTCCTCGGCCTCGCCTGAATCGTCCGATATCACAGCGGCCTTGCTGAGCGTCGGGAAAACGCGCTGTGATACTTGTTGGTCGCTCTGACGTAGCGCACGGCCAATCACAGCCACCGCCACCGCGTGCCAAGGTCAACGAACCCAGCAGACCGCGCAACAATCACGACCTCCAAGCCAGCGTGACGCGCCACTCACCGATGTTCATGTGGCGGGGTTGTGTCTGTTGAGAGGCCAGCGGTCGACGGAGACGAATAGGTATACAGCGTCTCGGCGACGGCGAAGGCGACGACGGAAGGGAGGTCGAGGGGTTCCGCAAATCGGGGATCGCAGCAGGACGGGCGCGCAGGACGAATAATATGTCAAAATGGCAGGCGTTGGACGAACATGTCACCAGTCAGGCTCTAGCCACTTTTTATGGCATGGCATTATGCTTTTTCGCAGAGCGCGTGTACCAGCGCGGTGACATATGGGTCCAGCCCAGTGTAGCCCCAGCACCTCCACATGATCGCCATACTGGAACCGCAAATGCCTAGGTATGTGTCGCGATGATGAATCCTAGCTACAACTCTTGGTTGGTCTCAGACCAGCTACAACTCTTGGTCGGTCTCAGACCAGTATTCTTAATTTTTGTTGCGCAGGCAATCCGATTCTGATCCAGAAGCGGTTATTTGGTTAGCGTCACAGGTGTTTGTATATATCATTCCTTGCCAAGGAACTTCTTGTTCTATGGCCGGTCGATGACATCGCACGACTGACACGAAAGTCGCGCAACGTCACATGATGACGCTAGTCAACTTGGATCGTGCGGGACTGCGCCCCGCTTTCCCTTCACTGTATCAAACACCAAAACCAATGTGTGACAAGTACTTTACCAGCTCACAGCCCCATCACAAACCGTCGCAATGAGCGCGCAACACTTTCAACCCAGATTGGTGACTCCACCAGCTTCTCCGTCGGCCTCTCCACCTCCGTCGGCCTGTCCACCCGTCTCACCATCCGCCTCTTCCCCCGCCGCTGCACCCGCCTCTTCGCCCGTTTCTTCAGGCTCGCCGTCCACATCGTCCGCCTCTACGACCGCATCGCCATCGCGCACTGATCGCAACCCTTCGCCTCTCACCGGCGCAGCGCGTGATATCTTCGAGTTTGTGAGGGATTGGTCCTCTGGTAGAACCAGCCGTTACTCCATCTCAGCGCGGCTGACGAAAGCCGAACACACACTTCTTGAAGACAAAACTTTTGAGGACTTTTCTCTTGGCGACCTCTACTCCAAATCGTGCTCTATCTGGCTGCCTCCAAGCCACGTGGAAACAAAGGGGTGGCTTGTCGTATCAATGCCCCCACGCGTTCACAACGAGTTCTGCCATCTCATCAGAGACGAGCTTGTCAACAGAATTGCCACGTTTCGACAGGATCCCAGACATCCTGCATGTGCAGCCTCTTCCAAGGTTGTAGGGAAGGCGAAGACTGATATCGAGTTTAGTGAAGACGGGCGTTTGAGGCCTGATATTGTGTTCGAGTATGAGGGCCCGGAGATTCGGTACACAACATTCCCGCTGGTCATTAAAGTTGGCTATTCGCAAACCGCAAAGGATTTGGCCCGTAGAGCCAAATCGGCCCTGCGGAACACCGACATCAGGACCATGATCACGTTTTGTCTCCCTTACCAATATCCAACACCGAAACGAAAGAAAGAAGACCCGGTGAATCAAGAGGCAACGTATACAATACGTCGTATAGAGGACGATGGACATGGCGACGTGCATTGCACCAAGGTGGAGGGCATCTTCCGCAACCAACACGGACTTGTTCAATCAGGCCACCTGCAGCTCAACCTCAATGACTTTCTACCCGACGGATACCTTCTCGACTCCAGCAATGAAATAGCCATCTCAGTGTCACATGAGACTCTGGCTGGATTCCTTGCTTCAGCGTTTCAGCAACAAGCCAAGTCTACCGTTCCCAGACCCAAGCTTTCTGAAAAGAGATTGAACATCGCTGGGATGAGTGATGACGAGTCTGAGCCGGTCGCCACCGCTAGCAGCAACAACTCACCGGCTCAAGATCGCATGTCAGACAAGGACTACCTTCGTCTTGTCGGCACAGCGGCGCCCGGACAATGCTACTTGGCCGCCAAACAGCAATGTGTTTCTCAGACCATGCCTACCGGAAATGACACTGGCGATGCGACAGCAGATATGGCGGAACAATGAAGCCAACGATGTCATAGCAGACACGACGAAATTGGAGTAACAACGACCAAGAATGATTGTAGCATGCACACGCGATACCGACGACATCTACGACGTCTCCGGCACCGATGAAGTGTCGGCTCGCCCGTGTTCGAGCCCCGACTTGCGCCACCGCCATCTCACGCCGAGCCTTCGCTCTCACGCATCTTCAGCACTCAGGGTGCCGTCAAACAGCCGACGACGTTTCTCCAAGCAAGCCAGCGCCTCGCTTAACACTTAGCAGTTCGGACGCCACACCCTTCACAAATGTATCGCGTCTCGCGCCTTCGCCTTCGCCTCACCCGAAACTGTGCTGTGACGCTCTTCGTCCTCTTCGCCGCAAGCCCGGTGGCGAGGAAGCAGAGCGGCGCGCACCGCCGAGTAGACCGTGCCGATGCGCTGACCTTCACCCCAGACCAAGGCCACGTGTATTGATACCGCCGTCTTAGGGTCGGTCTCGGTCAGGATGTTTAAGGGTTGTATCGGGCTAGATGAAGCGGGTCTGAATACCAAGCATACCGCTTCCAGAGTGGAGGCGACGTGAAGTATTGTTTTGATTACTTCACTTGAATGCGACAGGCTTTCACGAGAGTTTCTGCGAATCTGATTGCCAAGCAAGTTTGGGATGATGGGCATGCTTGCAATAACGTAGTCACACCAAGTGAATCCGCGATCCGAATCTCGCTTACCTTGCCAGATATCAGCGAGTCGTCAGCTATATGTCCATGACGTCGACCCAAACAGCAAGGTCACCCCGCACTTACCGCAACAGAATGGTCGTATCGCGCATCACGTCGATCTAAGCAGGGCATTACTTCTCCGGTATCTGGACACTGGACGACCATAGGGTGAGCCCTCGGACGATGATTGTAGATGGGGTTTACCTACGTATTGCCGACACGTTGAGAGTAATTGCAGGGCAGAAGAAGACGCACGATCTACGCATCCTGAGACTTTGCTAAAAGTAATTTCAAGCAAGATTTGATCGCAACATAGAGATGTTGTTAGTCTCAATGGGATACTGATACAACAAGCCTTGTGTGCGCCCCAAGACACGTTGGGTAGACGTTTGTTTTCTGTCAAGAGAAGTCGACTATAACAAGCATTGCAACAAAGAACGTCCCATAAATCGTCGAGTATAGTTACAAGCCCTGCCTTCTTCTCTTTCTGGCAGCGAACACACATAAATTCGGTGGCTGAAACGAGGCGGTGGAGCTACCACGCACCTCGCTTATCGTATTCTCTTAACACAACAGATGCGCCGGAATCAGTCTTCGGTTGCAGGTCTGGAGTAGAGATAGAAGGTATTTCAGATTCTGTTCGCGGTGATGCACTCATTTTGTTGACAAGGACGTTGATGTTCAGTGCCATTAGATGAAGCCCAGGAATCTTTCTTTCTACGAAAATTAGTCTAGATGATGTAAGTTCCGCACTGGAACGATGGTCGCACTTTACGGAGAGTCCTGGAATGTAGATCAGTATTTTAGACTTCCTGACTCCACTGATCAAAGAACACCAACAAAAACGCTCTGTTGCCAGAATACTCTGCACAACATGTCTTTGTTGATATGACCATAGCGTAATTCGGCCCTGGTTTGCTCCATTCTATCTTGTTTTGATTGCAGACGATGCAGCATGCAATTCAAGCTCGAGTGAATGTTGTGAGTTCACGAGAAGCGATGCTGCAAGCGGACATTCCAGCGGCCTGCGTCACATGTAGCCTCACGCTACACCCAGCTCCGGCACATATTACCTTGTTGCGAAAAATGCAAAACAGAACCTGCATGAAGAGGTTCGTCTTCGGAGGTAAAATTCATCATGTGGTTCCACTAATGGTGCAAAGCTTTCACCCATGCACCGTCGTCAGACTCGTATCCCCATTCTGATTACTTCTTACGTAGGTCCAATATGTACTGAGTCGGTTTGCAAATGATAAGATGTGCCAAGGCTAGAAGGAGCGGCAAACTGACAGTGAGACTTACAACTGGTATTGGCGATGCCAATCGCGTGAAGCAAAAATTTGTAGCTCGAGGATTTGAGTCGCACGATGGTGCATATTTGGCCCTATGTGCAAGATTGGGAAGGCCGGGAATGCTGCCTTAACGCGCTGGGCATTGATATCAGCCTGCTCGTTGGAATTGCGATTGCTCACCAAAAGGCAGCCAGTCTCGAAATGCACCATACGAGTGTCTAGCTCCTACACATGACGATGATAACGGTAGGCGCGACTACAAGTATCCATGTACATTCACCTATCTTTCCTTATAGATAAATAAGCCAGTAACTGCTTTCTGATTTCTGTACCCTGCTATCGTATTGCATAGTCGTAGACAGAACATATGGCGTGCGAAGTGTGTAGAATATCTAACGACAACCCCATTATCTGCCTTCGAATCAACTTGAAGGACAATGCACCCTTCACTTCGCAAATCTCGCTCCAGCTTCTATCTCCGAAGACGTCGCGATGTCTTTTAACCAATCACAAAGGAAGCACCTTTGACCGCTGTGTCTTCCTGACGGATCTGTCTCTACACTGCAATGCCTCATCTGTGGCCATAGTATGGATGTAAAGAACCGGGAGCAGCCAAAAAAGCCCACTGAAGATCAAACTATCCACTTGACCGTTCAAACCGGATCGTAGTTTCGCAACATGCTAATTGTCAGGATATGATTGCGACCTGCGGGCAGTTCATGACAACGATTCCCTCAGCTCTCCAAATTGTCTGCATCCGATCGTTCGCAGCTTCCGTGTGTTACTTCATTCACATTCTTCTGTCCATATTCGGATTTGAAGTTTGCTTGCAGTTTCAGGAAATCGGTTGCGTCATAAGACTACACAAAAGCTTCTACAGTGTCGCAAGATAAGACAGGATAATCCTATTCTTCGGTGCGGTGTACAGCCATCTCTCGTTTGTGCGAACATAGAAGCCTGCGCGGACTATCACACGCACCGGTCGGAGTCTGTGCGAAAAGGCAGAACGAAGGCCGTCTGGTCTGAAAGTAAGCTTAACTGGATTTGTTTCGGCTCAACGAACTAAAGCGAGGCATATGCTATAGTCTAGGGGCATCTGAATTACTCACTGCTCCAATCTTGTGCACATCACGATGGACGATCTAATCTGGAACGAATTTCGCGCACTACACCGACCCGATGGAGGCGTCCAGCTGGGCGTGATAGATCTCAATGAATTCAGCGCGCGAATATACTCCTTATATCCAGAGCATCGGAAGTCGCTGACGACAGCGCTCAGGAAGTTGGCTGATCTACCCATCGCTTTCAAGCAGCGACTGACTTGTTCAGCTTTATTCTGGAGCGTTCCCACGAATACTGTGAGGCGTTTGTAAAAGATAGCCAGGGAAGATTTTTGGACAATGCTGCAGTATCCAAGCATTTGAAGGTCATGAGACCTGATCTAGACCAGAGGGGTGTTAAGCGCTTACGGCGGAGGCAAGTCATGTACATTGCTGCGAACGATGACGACAGGAATGCTGACATCTGGAAAGTATCCAAAATCGGAACATAAAGGCTGCCGCTGCGACCACTAGAGCGAGTTCGCAAGCTGTGACAGCATTGGATGAGTCAAGTGCAGCTCATACCAGGCGACTACTGCCAGCACCTACACAGCCGGCGTTGGAGCCAACATCGTCCGAGAACAATTCATTGTCAAGTGCATCAACAACGGTCATTGATTCGCCGCAGATATTGAGCCCGATGGACAAAGGGCCTCTTGACAACGAATTCTGTGCGAGCAATCTCGCATCCTGGGATGATACCCTAGCAAAAAAGCTAAAGCAGCTACAATTGAGGACCGACAACAAACGTGCTGAGGCTGAAGCAGACACTCCAACATCTAGCCGAAGAAGTCTTCCAGACCTTTGCATCACTACTGAACTTCTCAAAGTACGAGAAGCTGAATCAACTGCATCGCCGTCTTCGAATGCGGCCCAGCAAGGCATCCATCAAGCACCTATCGTGGCGGCAAACATTGTCGCCGAACATTACAAGGAGCTCGTCCCCCAATATGGTTTGCTAGGCAGTCTAGAGGACGAATCAGAAACCCTCACCGACGCCCAGCTCTTCTTGAACACGAATGTGCCTTTCTCGGCTTTCATTTGTGGTGTTCAAGGAAGCGGCAAGAGCCACACAACATCCTGCATTCTGGAAAATTCAATCCTAGCTTCCTCTCATCTTGGATATCTGGAAAGCCCTGCCTCAACATTAGTCTTCAGCTATGGCGAGTGGAGTAGTGGTGGGGCAGGCTTTAACGTCAGTGAAGCAGCCTTTCTTGGTTCGCCTCATCCCAGTTTCTCCAACCAGTATGTCAGGAAAATTACTGTATTGTACTCGCCTTCCAATCCGGCGATCAAGAGGATGTATGAGCGCTTGCCGAATGTTCAGACAATACCATTTCGTCTGAAAGCAAAGACCCTTGACATTGGTGCCATGCGTTCATTAATGGCTGTTAACGAGAAGGCAACTATGCCATTATATATGGCAACAGTGGAAGCAATCCTCCGCGAAATTGCTACAACAAGTGCAGATGGGTCTATGGACTATATGGAGTTCAAGCAGAGAATTGCAGAGGAGAAACTGAATCCAGATCAGTCTAACATGCTTGGGATGCGTATGGATCTCCTCGAATCCTTCCTAGATCTTGACGGCACTGCCTCAGTTCCAAGTTTTCAACCAGGCGAGGTGACTATTATCGATCTCTCAGATCCTTTTTTGACGCCTAGTACGGCTTGTATTCTCTTCAAGCTTGCTCTGGAACAATTTTTGCAGTCGAGCGCTTCAGGAAAGATGGTAGTACTGGACGAGGCTCATAAGGTATGCAATATGTTCTCTTGATTTATGCATGGAGTTCTGCTAACAACTCAAGTACATGCTGAACACCCCTGGGTCAAAGATATTCACGGATTATCTTACACGTGTTATCCGTCTCCAGCGTCACCATGGCGCCCGTGTGGTTATTTCGACACAAGAACCTACGATCGCAACTAATCTTATCGCTCTCTGTTCTGTGACCATCATGCATCGATTCACGAGTCCTGCATGGTATTCCGCATTGAGAAAGCACGTCAATGCTCTTGAGAGCGACGGGCAAATCATGCAGCACATTGAGGCTCTTGAGACCGGCGAGGCGCTCATCTATTGTCCCAATGCGGTGTTGGGAAAGAGTAAGAGTGGAGCCTTGATCAAGGCCACTGGAAGATTGATGAGAGTACACATCAGGCACAGGATAACACTGGATGGAGGAGTGTCAATCATGGCGGTTTAGTTAACTTGCAGCGGTTGTGCTGCGTGGGATACCAGGAATGTTTGAGTAATAACATCTATCTACCAGTATATCAGATGCCTATGCACAATCTTCTGCCTTTTGGCCTTGACAACGGACCGGACAGTGTTAATGTCAAACACCGAACGTTAAGTGAGAAGACTTTAGCTCTTCTTCCAATAGCGATTTCAAATCGCAGTCTTTCTGTATCCTCGCGTCTTAGTAAGGGAGTCTACATTGATGAAAACGCAGGATTCTGTAATGTGAAAGCCCTCCCCCCTAACCATACTCTGAACCTAAGATATCACTCTGCATGTTCATAAAGATGACCCAATGAAATCTTTCTTCTACCTAATGGACGAACATTTGGTAAATCGACCGAACACACTCATCAGCGAGGTGCAGTTCGTTCCCTACCTCGCACACCGATGAGCCTAAATGTAACACCAATCCCTCGACGTAACGGGGAGATCTGGATGTTGCTGTAGCAGCGACTCCAACAGAGCCCCGGACTTTATCATTACCGCATTACCCACACTCGAGCTTCGTCGCAAAAGTACTCCCACGTTTGTGCCTTGTGCTGTATAAGGCGTGTGCGACCACACTCCCTATCAGCACCAAATTCATGGAAGACATGCTGCGGGACGGAATATGGCATCTAGCCGAGCCTCGTTGGCGACGTATTTGCACCGGCCAGCCGTGCTTGTGCAAATACGTTGGTGGTAGACTCAATGGTCGCTGCTCTGCGGGGCCACGCCGCTCAGACTAGGGGGTGCAACTGCAGCAAAAATATGATTCTGATCCCCCCTCCCCAACCCTCAGAGTCCGTAGAAAAGTGTGTGAAGCAAACAGACTGACGTTGACTTGATCAGCACTTCCCTCCTTCTCCGTGGCAATGCGAAGGCTGGCGTTATCAAAACAAAGGCAGAAAGCTAAGGTAATGGATCTGCCTGGATGAGACAATCACTTTCAATCTGCCCTGTTCGAAATTAACAAGCGGCTTTGTATTCTATTGAGACATTCCTTTTCCCTAGTCATAGCAAGCCTAGTGAACACTCCCCTACTACAACCTTCACACATGCAGAAGCCGCCCCAGCTACCCAAGCGACAGCGACGATGAGAAAGAGGTCTTCGACACTGCTGAGTCCGATATGCACATCCTTCTCGCGCAGATAGACCGAAGACGGCATGGACAACTATGCTGATCATGTCCTTGCCGCCGCACTCCAATTCACATCCACATATATTGAGTGCCACGTGTGACCGAGGCGCGCGTGAGGCGCGGAATCAGGCTGTCCATGCTAGCCGCCATCTCGGGCTTGAGGACCGAGTCGTAGTCGGCCTGGATGCAGAGCACGGGCTGGTGCTAGAACATAATAGAAATGCAGGTATTATTACTGTATAAGCTCTCACTTCCATTCTTTAGCAATTGATGCCAGCCACTCGTTAAAGCTAATGACCTTGTCATCGTCTACATGACTGTCGTACCCATTAGAGCCTCTTGTTACCAACCCTTTTGGAGGATACACTTCGCACATTGGATGCTCCGGGTTGCATATTCTGAAAGTCGCAGTATCGTCCAGTAGCTTCTGATAACACTCTTCGCAGAAAGCAACATCGACACAAATCTCGCAAAGCTTGAAAGACTTGAACGTGTCTTCCCTTCGCGTGCAGGCGCCATCGCATCGACCTGTAAACTGGCTGGGAACACATATCGACCCTTTCGGTGCCGTGGTTGGAGCTGCCGTATTGTCCTGATCGTCGTCGATTTGAGACCCCAGATGTGTCGAGTTGAGTGGTTTCGTAAATGCAATCGCTATTGAAGCATTCTTCTTGTCTCCAAAGCAAGTGAAGGCGCGGGCAAGATTACAGAATGCTTCATAGTCATTGTCATCATCTCGGTCTGTGAGGTTGCCTATGCCGTCCATTACGAAGGGTCGAATATTGGCGCGCGCCAGTTCTGTTTGGCCATTCTCCACATATCACCGACCGAGGAGCGCTCTTGCTTCGTAGCGAGTTGAAGAAGAACTCGAATTCAAGCGGATTGGCTCAATGAGATCGACAAGACTCTCCATTTTGGAGACCAATGCGGCCTTTTCTTTTGGTTCGGCACTTCGTGCTTTCCAATAGTACACAGGCATCAAGGCGAAGGAGGCAGTGACTACTAGCACTGTATGGGAATGTTCCTCAACAACTTTTTCCCACAAATGGATTGCCTTCGTGTCGCTGCGATAAAACCCGAAGTATAGATTTGCAATCGCCAGGTCTGCGGCGGCTATGGTACTTTCATTGCCGACGTTTGTTGCCTCGATCTTAACAGCTTCGAAGGCTTTCTTCGCTAGCCCGAGATCTCCCAACTTTGCACATGCGATGGACATGTACTCAGTTGTATATCTTTGTGGAGACGCGTAATTGATCACGTGACCAAGGAACTGCGCCCCTTCACGAGAGTCCAGTGCTGCCTGCATCAATGCCGTTGTCTTCGAGTAATTTGCAGTTCTATGGGCGGTGAAGACGAGGGTAAACGCTACGCCTGGGTCATGGAGAGCGCTATCTCGTGCCCTTACTGCTGCTTGAATGGCTTCGTCATCTTTCTCTAAGGAAAGGGAGGCGCTCGAAATTATCTGCAGGATGACGTTTCATGTATGAACGATACGCTGGAAGGTGCTCGAGAGCTAAGGAGGCAGCAGCGATGCTCTCTTCAAACTTTTCGATTGCACAGAGTACCTCAGCTTTTGAGCAGTATACATCCCACGTACTCGTTGAATCATCGCTGACCTGGACAGCATGCTCGAACTCGTCTACAGCCGCGAGCCGGTGCTGCTGCGTCCTTATTTTGGCGAACGTTCGACCCAGAGAAAGGTAAAACGTGGTGTCTTTTGGCAAGCTACCAAGGGAAGACATTTCCCTGATCTCAGCTGGCGATATGCTCTCTGCAATATGTTCGAAAGGACGGTTTGGAGGAAAACTCCATCGATGGCAGTTCGGATCATCTTCCTACAATGCAAGTCAGAAGGACGTGCTCACAATGGTATGAACAGGACTCACTAATGATAGGTAAGCCTGGAGGAAGAGGATAGCCATCATCTTGCCGCAGGTCTCGAATTTCAGCCATGCCTCGACGACATATTTCGCGAAAGGTGCCAGCAAAATCTTGGGATCGGTGGTATTCTTGGGGCCTGCTTCCTCCACAGTGGAGGTCTTGTTTGTTGCAAGTACTTGGCCACAAGTCCGCAATCGTACAAAGGTCGCCGGGGTAAAGAATTGATGCATGAATCTGTATTCATTGGACAGTGCGTCAAACCATCGTTGGATCGAGATGCGATCATTCAAGAGGAACATGACCTCCTGTGACAAAGTCTGAAATATGTCTGCATGGTCAGTCTTGAGTTGTTCGATGTCGACTTCTACAAAGTGATCTAAGAAGTGATTAACAGCATACTCGAACAGAGTTGGGTCGCGCCACTCCCTGCCTTTCCTCTTTGGGATGTTGTCGGTGAGAAATTTGAGGCATGTCAATGTGATGTGAGCTTGCGCGAAGTTCATATCCATGCCAATTTCTTGGTGAACAGGAGCGTTTCTGAAGTGTTGACCGACACTTGCATGACTGAATTTGACTGTGGCCGACAGAAAATTCCATGGAATCTCGTCGTCTTCTTCTTCATCATCGGAAAGAGCTTCACTTGCTCCACCCGTTGCATCGTCATCGTCATCCGACCCAATGTCAGAATAATCTTCTAGCACGGTGTCCTCATCGGAGATGTTATCCAGCAGTGTTGTTTCGCTTGCAGTCGTGGAGACAGCATCTTCGGCTGCAGCATCTTCGTCCTCCGAACCATCCTGGAGGGACATAACAGTGAAGAATGAACCGAATCTAGTCCTCAACTCGTCCTCGATTGCAACAATACCATTCTGGCGAAGATCCCTCAATTTGAGGACAAGGTCCAATTCGCCGAGAAGAAGATCACGTTGAGCACATGCGACCCACATGATGATCTCGTTGAGATCCTTCTTATCGAATCCTCCAATGGCACCAAGCCTTGCTATAACGCGTCTGAACATGTCATCAAGGCCCCGAGGCGGCTTCGAGAGAGCTTCGCGGATCAATTCTGGTTTGTTCATGTCCTTCAATTCGGCGAGCATGAGTTTGGCGAGCATGAACATGCCATCCGAGCTATCGCGGAGCGTCTTGATGATCTCCCTTTTGAGTCGTTTGGCAGAAGCCGGGCGCATCTTCTGCAGCAAAGTGACACGTTCTGTGACGCCTTTTGTTATAAATCTCTCCACATCTTTGCTCGACATCGATGGCTGTAGATGAAGGATCTTGGGCCTCCGTTTTTCACCTCTCCAGACATTAGACACGTTATAGTCCAAGTCTGGGCGACCAAGTAATAAGAGCTGTATGCCTGGTTTGTGCTTCGCGCTGAACTTTAAGTCCGAAAGCTGTTTTGCAAGCTTCACAATCAGCTCTTGGTTTTCAGGTGTCGCCTCGTCTACGCCATCGATCACAATGATCACTGGACCTGTGGAGTCATCCGATATGGTCTTGACAAAGAGGCTGTCCTCTGTCTGCACTAGTTCGTCAAGTCGGTCCAGTGCAGTCTGGATCTTATTTTCTTTACCGATAACACGGCGCATCATCTCCTTGCCTCGACCACGCTTGATAGTAGCCTCAGCCTCGCTGAAAATATCGAGGAAAGCGCTCAGCAATCGGATCACGAGTTTGTGAATCTTCTTGTCCTGTTGCCCCTGGAGGTATTCGTCTAATCGATCGGTGATGTCTCGGATCCTTCTGAATAGGGTCTCAAGAGCATCATACGTATCAGCCACGGCGGCACCAGATGAAATGACGAATATTCCAGCCTCGAGAACAGCGGCCGCAGGCGCAAACGGCGAGAGTTGAACAGCGGCTTGCGCGACTGCACCGAGAGTCTGCAGCTGTCCCATTGTTGCCATCAATACATCCCAGAATTTGCGGCGGGAGCGTCTGAAAGACGCGAATTCAGCCTCATGGCTATCAACGAGTCTGTTAAGATCAGCCTGGGTCGTGATGGGTTCCTTCCACCTCTGCGCGGCTGAACCCCGTTTCGAGGTACTGAGATATCCATCTACAGCCTGTTCCCAAAGCTGCGTAATCTCAGAGCTGTGTTCGGCCATCTTTGTCGATCGTGTTCATCGCAAGTGAGGCAGAACAGGAGGCTCTGAGCCAAGGACTCTAACTATGCGGGGCCTGACTTCTTATGCCTCAACGAATCATCTTTCGCCACGATCCTTAGCCCGGCGGGGTAATAGTATCACTAGTCGCGTTACAGTTAGAGACGCCTACCCTAAGTAGTTAAAAACGCCTACTTCTTAATAACGTAGGTGTACAGCGAGCGGGCCAGTACACCAAGCAGGCCACTTTTGCCAAGACCACACTAAAACCCAACCTATTATGGCCTAAAATACTATAAATTGGCGCTGTATAAGGGAAAACAAGCTATAGTATTACTTAGGAACCTTATCTGCTCTATTCTTGCACGTTCGCGCGTTATGCCCACCCTCTCTATACTGTCTATAGCATTATTAGGATAGTTTACCTCCTTTAGCGCACACCTGCTTCTTTACTCTCTTACTATTACTATGCGCCCTAAACTCCTGCAAAGTAGTTAACTGCTAGCCTTCTTTAACTATAAGGCTTCCCTTAGCGTAAATATGCCTTCTTTTATATAATTTTTATTATATAGCAGCCTTATTAGCTGCTTAAAGCTTGCTAATTTCCTATTATACTAAAACTAGCTTGTGCGTAATAATTACTGCCTCCTTTAATACCTTCTTAAACACCTTAACTATTAATATAGGAGAGCTATCTATATGCCTCTAAATCCTTGTCTTTATAAGCATTAATTATAACCTAAGTTCTAGGGTATTGCTTAAGGTTTATAACTGCTAGGGCTTATTATTTATAGGGAGTAGTAGTAATAGAGTGCGTAGCTTTATATTAAGGGTTAATATAACCTATTCTAGGTTATAAGGGACTAGTCCTACGCCTTAGAACCTTCCCTAGATATTGCTAGAGGTAATAGCTTTCTTATAAGCTGCTTTAAAGTATAGCAGGAACTCCTACTTTATAATATAGTTAATCTAGTTGCGTATAAGCTTATTAACCTTATCCCTATATGCCTTCTTTAGAGGGCTAAAATAAGCTATGTTAAGGGGCTATAGGAGATGCAATAAGTGCGCAGGCATGCATAGAGTTATAATCTTATAATCCTTATAGTATTACTTAAATTCTATAGAGTTATAGCTTCTATAACTATTAATAATTAGTAAATAGTAGGTGCTAATAGTATATATCTTTATATACCTGTTAAAGTGCTTTAACTAGTTAAAACTAAGCTTATTAGTAGTCTAGCTATTTTTAGAGATAGCAATAGTCTAATCTTAAGGCAGGTTATTATCCTTATACTAGTTAGATAGGTATTAGCAGGCTTTAAAGATAATATAGAGTAGAATAGCCTATCTTATAGTATTAATGCCCTTAATAACTATTACCTACTCCTAGTTGCCTAGCTAGACCTGCTTTGCTTGTCCTAGCTTCTCTATATCTATAATAATAACTCTAGTAGATATCTAGCCTATTATAAAGCCTATCTTGTTAAAGTTATATGTATTATTATCTAGGATACTATACTTAGCTTTAATATTAGCTACTAGGCTAAACTAGCCCTAGATTACTACAGGATCCTTATAGAGGGCTTGCTTATAGTTATACTTGCGATTAAAGACTGTTTTAAGCTTCTCCTAACGCAAAACAAACCTACTAGCCTACCTTAGGCTAATAGGGGCTAAACTACGCTCTTTTTATAGAGAATTAGCTATATTAGCTATAATTATAAGCTAAGGGGACTCTCCTTATATAACTAGCTTAAGTATACGCATAATAATTACCTGCTCCTTAGCGCTAGTTAGATTATGTAAGTTAGCTATAGTATTAACGCGTAAAGGTTATCCTACGCGTTAATAGTCTAGTATAGTTTAAGAGACTCTATAGATAGCTATAGTATATTATACTAGGAGTTTTGCGTCTTATTTAAGAGCTTAAAGCGTAAGCTAGATCTAACACTCTTTTAACGCGTTAAAATAGGGTTAGTAGAGGGGCATTTAGATAGTAATAGTATTTTAGTATAGTCTTAGCAAAAGTAGCCTGCTTAGTATACTAGCCTGCTCGCTATATACCTATATTATATATAGTATATATATTATTATATAATAGTATTATACTAGTAGAATTAGTATATATAAATTTATTAAGTATAAGAAAAAATTAGTAACTATATTCTAAAAGTGCTTCTAGAACTAGAAGCACTAGCTAAGCTAGCTAATTAAACTTTTAGTTATATAAAAGTTCTAGCTAGTTAAAGGTAAATAAAAATCTTAGAAAGAGTAACGTACCCTATAGGCAAGTCGGTTAACAGGTAAGTTAGATACTTTTGCTAAGCCCCTACTAAAACTAGACCTATTATAGCCTATAACACTATACTTTAGCACTCTATAGCAGACTATAGCATATAATATTATTTAGAGACCTCTTCTATATTAATCTTGCACGTTTGCATATTATAACTAGTCTAGTTGCACCTTCTATAGCGCCTTTAGGCAGGCTTACCCTCTTAAGCGCGCACCTACTTCTTTACTCTCTTTCTATTGCTACGCGCCCTAAACTCCTTTAGAGCTGCTAGTTGCTACCTATCTTTAACTATTAGTGTCTCTTCCTTCTAAACTTGCTTTCTTTTATATAATTTTTGTTGCATAGCAGCCTTATTAGCTACTTAAAGCTCCCTAATTTCCTATTAAGCTAAAACTAGCTTATGCGCAATAATTACAGCCCCCTTTAATACCTTCTTAAACGCCTTAACTATAGATATAGGAGAGCTATCTATATGCCTCTAAATTCTTAACTTTATAAGTATTAATTATAATCTAAACTCTAGAGTATTGCTAGAGGTTTATAACTACTAGAGCATGTTGTTAGTAGGAACTAGTAGTGTTAGAGTCTAAAGCTTTATATTAAGGGCTAATATAACCTATTCTAGGTTAAAGGGGACTAGTCTAGCACCTTAGAACCCTCCTTAGATGTTGCTGGTAGTAAACACTATATTATAGGCTGCTTTAAAGTATAGTAGGAACTTAGTCTTTATAAGGTAGCTAATCTAGTTATATATAAGTATTTTAGCTTAGCGCCTATATATAGTCTTTAAAGAGGTAAAACAGCCTATATTAAGTAGCTATAGGAGGTACAATAAGTAAGGAGGCATATATAGGGTAATAATCTTATTATCCTTATAGTATTACTAGAATTAGAGCGAGTTATAGCTCTTATAGCTGTTAATAACTAGCAGTTAGTAAGTACTAATAGTATGCTCCTTTATATGCCTATTAAAGTGCTTTAACTACTTAAGACTAAGCTTATTAGTAGTCTAGCTGTTACTAGAGACTCTAATAACCTAGTCCTAGGGCAGATCTTTCTCTTTATACTAGCTAGAAAGGTAGTAGCGCGCTTTAAAGATAATAAAGGGTAGAATAGCCTATCCTTTTGCATTAATGCCCTATATAACTATTGTCTACTCCTAGTTACCTTGCTAGACTGCCTTTAGCCTTCCTTATCTCTCTAAAGCTATAATAACTGCTCCTTAGGAGATCTAGCCTATTATAAAGCCTATCTTATTAAAGTTATAGGTATTATTATCCTAGATACTATACTTAGCTTTAATATTAGCTACTAGGCTAAACTAGCCCTATATAATCCCTAAATTCTTATAGAGAGCTTGCTTATAGTTATACCTATAATTAAACTTTACTTTAAGCTCTAGCTAACGCTTAATAAACATACTAGGCTAGTTTATGCTAATAGAGCCTAGATTGCGCTTAGCGTGCAGAGAATTAGCTATTGCAGCTATATCTACTAGCTAAGGGCTAAATCCTTGCGCATCTAGCTTAAGTATATACTTAATAATTACCTACTCCTTATTATTATCTAACCCTTATAAGTTAGGCATAGTATTACCTTATAAAGGTTGTCCTGCGCGTTAGTTACTTAGTGTGCTTTAAGGCACCCTATAGATAGCTGCAGCACGTTATTATAAGAGATTCGCGTCTTATTTAAGAGCTTAAAGCGCAAGCTATACCTAAGCTTTCTAAGACGCGTTAATAATATATTAGTATTAAGGTATTAGTATAAGAAGGGTACTTTAGTAGAGGCTTAGTAAAAGTATCTAACTTGCCTATTAACTAACTCGCCTATAGGGTACGTTATTAATACTTACTATTACTAAAAGGTAGAGCTCTTTCTATTAATAAGTACTTTAATATTAGAAGTCCTTTTACTTAGCTTTTCTCTAGTTATAAAGATAGTATTTACTTTAGATATTTATTAGACCCTTTATAGTCTAGAGGTCTCTATAGAGAGATAGAGAAGGTCTATAGGATAAAGACTAGTATAAAGTTTAGCTAGCTCCTAATATAACTAACTAATCTTATAGGCTAATACTATATATAAGTAGTTTAATTTTAACCTACTTTCCTCTAATAGTAGGGGTTATTCTTAGACTAAACTAGAAGAAGGTTTATAGAACCTCCCCTTTCTAGACTTAGCTTAAGATCTAGTTAAGGGACTAGCTATTATACCTAATATTATATTAAGTCTAATTTAGGTAGGTTATTAGTAGTCTCTATATCTCTACTATAGTATAATCTAATATAACTTTTCTAAAGTAATAATCTAAACCTAAAGGCTTTAGTTATTAAGAGGTCTCTAGTATCTTAACTAGGAGTAAGTAATTCTAGAAGTAGTATAGTTAGATATATATTAGACTACTTGCTTATAACTA